ATTAGGTACTCTGATGGAGAAAGGAAGAGGAATCTTTTAGTAATAAAACACTTCCCTTCAATTAAAAAAAAAGGAAGTGTGTAGATGGATGCTGAATACTTAATTACATAACTTAATAACTACACCATAAAGACAGATTCACTCCCAAAAAGCCCACATTAAATTCATAATCTCAAAAGCTCTCATTACAATTAATGGCAAGATCACAGCCTTAGTCCAGAGATAGTTCTATTACAAAATTTGAAGTCTGAGGTGGCTGTGTTCAAGAGTCAGATGTTGAAAATTATATTCAATAATTCCAGGCTAATCTAAATGACCTCAGTACTAGTCACTGCTCTAGTTAAAAACAAAGTATTCAAAGAAAAGGCATTCTGACAAGAGGAATGTAGTCTCAGTTCAGAACACTGTCTCTGATAGTCTATTGCCTACTTGCTCAGGAGTTAGAAGCTCTAGGATCAATTGCTTTCCAATTCTCAGGGGAAAGATGCACTACTGATTGTCTAGGTATCAGTGGACTGCTACAGCAGCTTAAAGAAGCTGCCACATTCTCTTTTTTGAAAAAATTTACTTTGCTCAGACGTCTAACCAAAGGAGTTGTTTCGCGGCTATGAATCCAGACTGCAGAGGGGCATCTAGGAAACTTCATGGCACTTCCAGACAGTACCTGCCTCAGCATACAAGTGAATCCTGTTCTCAGATGTAACTCTCCCCTTCCACTGCATAAGGAAAATAGGTGACTGCTTGAAGTTATGCAGCAGGGTATCCAATAGCAGAAACTAGCATTGTTCCCTGTGTGGCTAATGGAGAGAAAGACCTAATGAGGCCTATGCTCTAAATCACTGTCTGGTAAGGTGCCTACCTTTTGCCATTGATTAGATGGAGAGTTCAGAGTTTCCATTACCTTAGAGATATAATATAGTTGATGAACCTCAATTTTTACTGAATATTAGGGAGTGTGAATAGCTTGCAACTCTCCTTTTAAGTCTAACTTCCTCTTGTGGATTTAACCCTTTGGTCTGAGTAGAAGAAAAAGTCAGATTTAAAATAGATTATTTCTGCTTTTTCTTTCTTTTTTTTTTTCCCCTCCCAGCAAAGGACAAGAGATTAATACAGTATGAAGGTCTCTTAGAACAGAAGTATGCTCTTCAATGTTTGAAAGCAATCCACATCTAACTACTGATTGAAAATGGCAAAATTACTCTGTTGAAAACTAACATGTCAAGCTAGCCAAGATATTCAAAGGTGATTGCTTTTTTTCATCTCTTGGGAAATCAAAGATTAATATAGAGATAAGAAGCTGTTTTTCTAGAAGAGTGGTGTCCTGCTTACGGCCAACCAGTCATTGACAGATGAACCTGAATATTGTGACAATATTTGACAATGTGTGTCAATTAGTAACTTTTTAAAATATAATTGCACACATTGCAAATGTTTTAAAATGGTTTAGGGTTTTTTTGCACCCTCTGTCTGTCTTACTCTAAAGCACATCCTGCTCTGGCAACTTAAATTACAATCTATTAAACTTCTATAAGTAATTTAATTTCTTGTTTAGTATATGAATTCAAACACTAAGAATATGCTTATCTCTGATCAGTTGTCAAGAGGTAGAAATTAGAATAGTACTATTAAGTATCAACTATTCATTTTAGTTTCAAACCATGAATCCATTAATTACAAGTATTGTGAACACATACTTCATGTTCAGTGAGAATGGTTCGTAAGTTGTAGCATTTTACTATGGCTGCAACAATGAATTAAATGCAAGAATCTCCCACATTAAAACTGTTACTTGCAACTTGGTTAATAGTTTTATATTGATATTTCGCTGCAATTTCCAAAGAACCTCCTTGATCTCTTTCTTTACAATAACTGCAGATGTAAAAAAAAGTTACAATAGTATGTAAGAAAGCAAGACGTCTCCACAAATAAAAGGATTCCAACACTCTACTGATTTTGAGATAACTGAAAAAAATAATTTAACTATGCATCCATAACAACTATGCATGACCCTCAAAAATCACTGGCAGACCAGGAATTAATAACCAGAACACATTCCCCGTGCAACTATTTGGATTAATTGCATTAAGAGACTTAATTTTGAAGGATTTGGGAATGTTTTTGCAAGGTTTAGGAAGGATTTCATTGAGATTACATGATGAGAAATTTTAAGTGTGCTTAACTGGTCACATTAACTCTCTAGGCAACCATGAAACACATCCGTCATCCACTGCTTAGTAATTCTTATCCAGGATTTTGTCACCATAAAGGAAATATCTTAATAATTCACTGTGTATTTTAGCCAGCCAGCAGAAAAAAACCCTGTGCCTTAGCAAGAATCTCAGTGCTGATGTTGTTCTTCAGACTGTTGGATTAGAATAGGGTGTGCTTGTACTCTGCATATTTTTGTTCTCTTGTGTTGGCTTCAGAGAAACGTAACTTTACTATTTCATCTAAAATGATATTCCATTTAAATTGGTCTAAATTTGCCACATGATAATATTCCTTGCCAATATCTTTATTCAAAGCTCTGCTAATTGCAAATTTAACTTAGGTATTTAAACTGAGCACCTATGTCCTATGACTAAGATATTATTTCAAGGGAGAAAATGTGCATAAACCAAAACGTTTTAGCAACTGGATGTCAGTAGCTCTACTTGTGCAAAATAACCACATCAATTTTATGCCAAACGTCCTGTGACATGAACTGATACAAAAAGGCAGGCAATCAGGTCTTCTACATAAATTCTGGAAAATTGAATTTAAAAAAAAAGTTTTCTACTTTTCATAATTCTGAGAAACCTGAAGTTTTGGAAAGAAATGTACTTTTCTTTTTTCGTTTTTTTCTTTTCCTAATGAGATCACAACTGCAGTAATATACCAAAATGTGTGTCCAGTTCTGAGCATGCTGTTCTATTGTAGGCTGTAATCTGAATGTAAATATTGCAAATACACACCAAAAAAGAATGGTGCCTGCAAACACCATTGGGAAAAATAAGAGGCAGCTGTGCACATAGCTACAATTACAGGGGACAAAGCTATGAACAGTTATAGATTTACTCAATTTCTGTTTTAAAAATAGAATCTACCTTTCGCTTCAGGAAACTCGCCTTATTTGCTACATCAATTATTATTGTACAGAGAAACAATGATTTTTTTTGATGTAAAGGCAGACAGGAAGTAAAAAAATAGTCAGATATTAAACTTATACTTGAGTGGTATTAATTTGCTTCTTTGTTCTTGAAATATGCATATTTAATTACTTGTGGGAGATGTTCTTGTGGACACTGGATTTTTCAAAATCAAAATAAGGTGTGTACAATTATTGATGGAATTACCTGCCAAGGAATTGTAAATAAGATTAATGAAAACATTTATTTTGTAAGTAATATAACTACCTCTTCTTAAAACTTGCATCTTCCAAAATATCTTCCCTTGTGACGTGGGAACTGCAGTGTTGAAACCGAATGGCAGCAACTGAGACTTCCTGACTCAAGGAAATATTGTCACAAAAGCAGCTAAGACTATTCTACTTGGAATGCTGTAAAACACAAACACTGTTTTATATATATTTATATTTCTCTCTTGGCTGCACTACTACGTCATTAAAAAACTGCATCAGCAATAATTTTGCCCAACAACTGTTTTTCAGCTGTTGTCATTTAGATACTTTTACCTAAAAACCATCCTGATTTAGAGTTCAGCACTGGGCATTTGTTTCAGACTAGAACTGTCAGATTGGTATCTCTTACAGTGCTCTTACCTCTCTTCCTTTTGTTGCAAATATATTCTTAAATGCTTTTATTAAAGCACATAAACTCTCAAATTTTTATCAACCACTGCCACACACTTTAATATGAAGCTCACCAACAATAGTTTGTAAGTATCTGGAACTCAACTTTAAGTGGAATAAAAGTGCATGCAAAAGGTGAGTTACTGCAGAATCTCTGGTTGAAATTCATTTACATGAGTGAAAAAATGGCTAGAGAATTATTGGTTACTTTTGGAGCTTCTGATGGATCTGCAGAATCAGATGTGGAATTGAAAACCCAATCTACTGAAAAACATACAGTTATGAAAACCCTTATTATGAAAAACATTATATTTGATAGCCAAGTAACAGGACCTATTGTCTGTACTTTTCAGGTGCTTAGATATAAAACCCCAAGTTATGTACTAATTTCTAACTGCTTGGAAGAACAGTAAGGCAGGACTTAAGGGCAGCAGAAAAATCAGTTTGTGTTTTGCATACCATTTTTGAACATTGGTGATTTCTCCCTGGTAAGCTTAATTCTCTGGCTGACAATTGTCTCTGTTTTAATTTTGGATGATCAGAGCAAAAACATCACTGAGAAAAAGAAAAAGGCATTTGCAGCAAGGGTAGCATACCTAAACTTTAGTGGAACATGTAAATTAAGTTTTATTTTGTAATTTAGCCTGATTTAGCCACTTCCTTTCATGTAAAAAAATAATATTCTTTTAGGAATAAACACATTTTGACTGAACCTAGCTAGAAGACTGGATATGGACTGTTTATATGAGAAATAACATTGAGAGCTTTCACCAGCATAAGTACACCTTACAAGGCATCAGTGTCTAATGTTCTACCTTATACCTCAAGTTCCCTCAAATTTCTTAGAGCTCGTAGAATTCATTATGCCTATTCTTGCTTCAAGTGCAGCAGGTAAAGGAGCGTTTCCCTTGCGTAAAGCTGGACTGACTGCAAAAACATATTAAATACTGACTTTTTAAGGACTGAAATTAAATTCTAAATGTGCATCAAGTAAGTCTTAAAGGAAGATGCACTTGCGAGAGTGCTTTAGGAAGACTGCAAAAGCTAATGAGGTATCTGAGAGCGCTACAGATTCACACTTCTGAAGGAAATAAACAGGATGTGCGGTGTTATCTCCGCCGCACGGAGGCGGCCCGGCCCCCAGCGCGGCAGCGTCACCCCCGGCGAGCGGGAGATTCGAAGGGAGGCGGCGGCGCGGGGCTGGGCGGCCATGGTGGAGGGCCCGGGCTGTGCCCTCTGCGGGGAGCGCCTGCGGGCACGGCTGCGGCGGGGACAGGCCGTGCGGGGAGCGCGGAGCGGCGCCGTGAGTGAGGGGCCGGGGCCGGGGCCGGGACAGCGCTTGAGCTCCTTGGGGCTGAGCGCAGCGCAGGGGGCTGGTTGGTGCCTCCCCGCCGGGCCCCCGGCTGCCGTGATCTGTGGGCGGTGGTGGGTGTCGTCCGTGAATGCTGTCTCTGTTCTTCCTTTGAATTATAAAATATCCTTGTCATCAACAAAGTAAATAAATAGGCCTTACCGGGTCGGCTGTGTAAAGAGATGCTGAAGCTGTAGAAACAGGAGCTTTAGGAAATTATGAGTGAAAACTTTTAGAATCGCTCTGGTTCTCTTCGGTAAATTTCAAAATATCGTTTTACTTCAGGAAACCTGAAATACTAGGGAAGTTATTACTAATCTAATTTTTTTACAATCGCTTAAGTCTTTGCATGTGCTAGATGATCTTTAAGGTCCCTTCCAACCCAAAACGTTCTGCGATTCTAGTGTGAATGAAACACAAGGGAGAAAGGTATATGTTTCACAGATATCACAGAATATTCTAAGTTGGAAGGGACCCACAGAGACCATCGAGTCCAGCTCTTAAGTGAATGGCCCATATGGGGTTCAAACCCACAGCCTTGGTGTTATTAGCACCATGTTAACCTGCAGAAAGGGAGCTTTTACTTCTATATTTTTTTTAAAGTAATTCTAATTAGACCAAGTATTTATATAAAGGTTGTGACATCTGCTTTCAATGTACACAATACGTAGTTTTCCTACTAGTTTTTATCCTTTTTGTTGACAGCATAAAATAATTCACTAGTATAAAACTGCCAGGGGACCTTCTAGTAGGTGGAGATGTCAGGATGTCAGTAAAGCAGGCCTTAGCTGATAAGCTGTGAAGGTACAAACCTCTGGTTTTGATTAGAGAGGTAGCTAGGGTATTTTTTTCATGTCTGGTTTTGCTCATCTGTGAAAAATTGTGTGTTGCTTGTGGCCCAAGTAAGTATATTGGATGCCTCCAGATGAAAGCTGGGGAATTTTTCCCCATCTTCAGTGTATATAAGGAGGCATGATAAGATAGTACTTCAATTAAATAACAATTTATGGAAGAATGTGGTTCAAGATATGTCTGTCTAAGGTATGTCAAAGATTCATCTTTATAGGTTTATATCTCTCAGGACTAAGCTTTTTAAATTAAGGAGTTATGTTCCTGAGGTTTCAAAAAAACAAATCTCATTGCCTAAAATAGACTCCTTCATAGCTTTGGACAGTAAAAGTCACCTCAGGGCAGACTCTATTCATTGGCAAATGATCATCCTAAGGGTCTTGTCCTCTAGTAGTGTCCCCCTTGCTGTTCACCTGCTTCTGAGATTAGACTTTAAACTAGTAGGAGGAGAGAAATATCTCTGTTGGCTCAGTGGAGGGTTTTCTGTGAAAATGTGAAACACTGTTTTCTGTTTCCCGTGTGAAACACTGAAAGTGTATTATCAGCATTTGGAGAAGAATATACAGCTGCAAATAGCAGAATTGACACTCTGATATGTTTCTAATGTTCAAACTGTATCTGTTTAGTTTACACCAGGCTGAGACTCTTATTGTAAATTCATGACTTGAAGGAAAAGGCATAAAATACCCTGAAGAAAAAGATGTATTGTTTCAATTAGGAAAAAAATTGAGCTAAGTCATGATGGCATTAGCAATAGTGACTGCTTCCTGGGTTAATAGTCCCATTGTTTTTGGTAGAATAGCTTAAAGAGAAAATAGATAATGTTGTCTGAGTTGAGAAATTAGTTCATACATCTGCTTGCTGAATGTTTACTGATGCTAGAATCAAAGCAGTATAAATTCTCTTTAATGTTCATGTGTGTATGTACTCATTTTTCAGACTGCTGCAAGTGAAGAGAGAATCTCTGGTCATGATTTCCTTGTTGGACACATTTACAGGGGTGTGGAGACATTGGGAAAGGAACTTTTTATGTATTTTGATCAGAAAGCCTTGAGGTAAGAACTGAGAAAAAGGCTTCCTATACATTCAGACTGATTGTATTTGGTGGGTCATCTTGCTTTTGCTAATGTCAGTTTCAAAGATTTGAAACCATTATGCAGAAACTTCTCATCAGCCTCTTCGCAACGCTGGAAATACTGATATAGTCACACTTTCAGGTAATTTACTGCTTTTCTCTTAGTCTGAGATTTCATAGAATCATAGAATCAGACGGGTTGGAAGGGACCTCTGAGATCATCAAGTCCTACCCTTGATCCACTATCACCGTGGTTACTAGACCATGGCACTAAGTGCCACATACAGTCTCATCTTAAAAGCCTCCAGGGAGGGAGAATCCACCACTTCCCTGGGCAGCCCATTCCAATGTCTGATTACCCTCTCTGTAAAGAATTTCTTCCTAATATCTGACCTAAACCTCCCCTGGCACAGCTTAAGACCATGCCCTCTTGTCTTACTCATAGCTGCCTGGGAGAAGAGACCAACCCCCACCTGGCTACAACCTCCTTTCAGGGAGTTGTAGAGAGCAATGTGGTCTCCCCTGAGCCTCCTCTTCTCCAGACTAAACAACCTCAGCTCCCTCAACCTCTCATCATCAGACTTGTACTCGAGTCCCTTCACCAGCCTCGTTGCTCTTCTCTGGACCTGCTCCAGCACCTCAGTATCCTTCCTGAACTGAGGGGCCCAGAGCTGGACACAGTACTCGAGGTGTGGCCTCACCAGCACTGAGTACAGGGGAAGAATCACTTCCCTGGGCCTGTTGGCCGCACTGTTCCTGATCCAGCCCAGGATGCCATTGGCCTTCTTGACCACCTGAGCACACTGCTGGCTCCTGTTCAGCTTCCTGTCAATCCAAACTCCCAGGTCCCTTTCTGCCTGGCTACTCTCCAGCTACTCTGTTCCCAGCCTGTAGCGCTGCAGGGGGTTGTTGTGGCCAAAGTGCAGGACCCAGCACTTGGCCTTGTTGAACCTCATCTCGTTGGAATCAGCCCAGCTCTCCAGTCTGTCCAGGTCCCTCTGCAGAGCCCTCCTTCCTTCCAGCTGATTGAGACTCCCTCCCAACTTAGTGACATCTGCAAATTTGCTGATGGTGGACTCAATCCCCTCATCTAAATCATTGATAAAGATATTAAACAGAACTGGACCCAACACTGATCCCTGGGGGACACCACTAGTGACCAGCCGCCAGCTGGATGCAGCCCCGTTCACCACCACTCTCTGGGCCTGGCCCTCCAGCCAGTTCCTAACCCAGCACAGAGTGCCCCTGTCCAAGCCATGGGCCGACAGCTTTTCCAGGAATATGCTGTGGGAGATGGTGTCAAAGGCTTTGCTGAAGTCCAGGTAGACTACACCCACAGCCTTCCCTTCATCCACCAGGTGGGTCACCTGATCATAAAAGGAGATCAGGTTGGTAAGACAGGACCTGCCCTTCCTAAACCCGTGCTGGCTGGGTTTGATCCCTTGTCCATCCTTTAGGTGCTGTGTGATTGCACTTCCGATGATCTGCTCCATAACTTTGCCAGGCACTGAGGTCGGGCTGTTTCCTCCTGGATTACAGGGGGGCTATTCAGCTTCTTATCTCTTTCTACAAGCTCCAGAAACCATGTGTCCTCAGAACAACCTGTCTTACTGTTGAAAACTGAGGTAAAGAAGGTGTTAAATACCTCAGCCTGTTCCTCATCTTTGATAACTATATTCCTGCCCATGTCCAATAAAGAATGGAGGTTTTCCTTGCCCCTCCTTTTGCTATTGATGTATCTATAGAAGGACTGTTTTTTATCCTTCACAGAAGTGGGAAGATTAAGTTCAAGTTGTGCCTTCGTCTCTCTAATTTTCTTTCTACGTGACCTAACTATATTCCTAAACTCTTCCTGAGTAGCCAGCCCTTTTTTCCGTGATCGGTAGGCTCTCCTTTTCCTCCTAATTTCCTTCAAAATCTCCCTGTTCAGCCAGACCAGTCGTCTTCCCTGCCGACTTGCCTTTCAGCAGACTGGGACAGCCTGCTCCTGTGCTTTCAAAACTTTCTTCTTGAAGTATGTCCATCCCTCCTGGACCCCTTTGTTTTCAAGGGTTGTTTCCCAGCGTACACTCTGGACTAGTCTTCTGAACAGGCCGAAATCTGCCCTCTGGAAGTCCAGCATAGAGGTTTTATTGATGGCCCTCTTTGCATCCTTGAGTATTGAAAACTCTGTTATTTCATGGTCGCTGTGCCCCAGACGGCCTTCAACCACCACATCTCCCACCAGCCCCTTTCTGTTTGAAAACAGAAGGTCTAGCAGGACCTCATCCCTGGTAGGCTCATTTACCAGCTGGAGCAGGAAATTATCCTCTATGATAAGGTATCTGAAAAGGAGAATTAGTCTTTAAAATGCTTTGTTTCAAATAGGAAATAGTTGTTATAGTTCTAGAAGCTGTATTTAAAGAAGTCTTATTAGCCATGTTACTGATGGGAAACCTTGTAGAAGTTATGTATGGGAAAGGTCTCTGTGCAGAAGGCAGAAATTACTTATTATCTGATATTGAAGATCTTAATTCTCTTGTTTTAAAAATGCATCTTGTGGATCTTAAAGATGTTAAAGGGGGTGGATGATGGCTTCAGAAAATGTGTCTTACAGCAGTCTAAGACTGGCTGCCAGGAGACAAAATAAGAAATACACCTTCAGAGGATGTATTATTATTTATCAAAGTTAACTCTTAAATATAGAACTTTCTTGTCATGGGGAAGGTTACTGATATATAGATTCTATATCTGTACACAGTTTCTTAACATAACAAAAGCAGCTTTTCTCTTCTGCTAAGATTACCTATAAAAAGCTGGTAGTCATGCTGGAATAATGTCAGACACATCTTGTGAAAGACTGGGCCATGAAGGGTAATTAACTAATTTTATTCTCCTGGATTTTCTCAAGTGGGGAGTGACTTCCTGGTGGGAGAAGTTAACCTGGCCATTAAATTGTTTTATGCAGTTTGGCTACTGCTTACCTGACTTGCATATGAGGAAGATACTTCTGAAATGTTACCATATTGTGGACAGTAATTAGAAACTCCAATTCAGTAATCCATGGTAGGCACTAGAAGCTTTTTTTTTCTAGAGGTACAGATGAGCAAGGACACCTGAAGAAATTAGTACTTCTGCTTTTTGATGTCCATTTAAACAGGGTCATTAAAGTCACTGAAGAAAATAATTTTTTTTCTTTTTGATTTTTTGCCTTGAAAGTCACTTAAATAATCAATGAAAATTGAAAAAGATTCTTTGATAGTTGCCAGTTGTGCAGCAGAGACTTTTGTGAACTGAGTGTTTTGCCATAGAAATGATACAGTTATGTGAGAGATCTTGCTCTGAGCTGGATTCCTATGGTCTGCTATTAATGTAATTTGGAGTGATGAATGGTTTAGAAAAGTTTCTGAAAATTGATAATGCACATATGTTTTTACATAACTGATAATGGACTAAAATATTCTTAGGAAACAAGTAATTCTTGACTCCAAATCCCCTAAAGGAAAGACATCCACTGTCTTGACTTGAAATTATATCTTAGCCCTTAGAACTTGATAATGTGAATTGTCACTGTTTTTTGCATCTCTATGTTGTAGCCTGTCTGTGCTGCCAGAAATCTTTTATTTTTACGGGGAAAAAATGTTTTAAATATAAGCAGATCCTTGCAATATTGTGTAGCACTAAATAATTCTAAAGTCTCACCATTTATTTTAAAACAACATAAAAGTCATCAACTCCTTACTATTAGTTATCATTGAATAACAGACCCTAGGTTTAGTTAGCATGGCTTTTTTATTTGTAGTTAAAATTAGTAGGCTTCTGTTTTACCCTATTTCAGGACATCAATGGTAATGAAACACTTCAGAGTGAAATTTTATAGATTTCTTAAGGCTATTGAATGTAAACATGTAGTAATGCCTCGATTATTTTTTCTAGTCATGAGCTGGCAAGTCACTAAGATAGCTGTGATTCTTAATGCTCCTTTTAAAGAGTGTGCTGGAGCTTGGTAAATGAAACCATCAGCTATTAATGTGAATGCCATATCTTAAAAATAACTTTCTGGAAGCATTTAGTACATTACCATTTGGTAGCAAGATGCAAGAGTTTGGTTTAAAAAGAAATTTGACCAAGTTTAAAACTAAGTTTGGCTAGTTAAGCCTGTGCAGTACTGTTCATGGCACTTGAGAATTGAAAATGGCGATTGAAAATAAAAGTGGCTGAAACAACTGTATCACCTGAACTGACTTGTAAGAAGAGCGTTTTGGAAAGACAGGTTTTTAAAAATTGAAAAAAATAAATGCTATGAGGAAGTTACTTAGAGAGTTACCCTTAAGACTATGTTTAATGACATGTCTTAACCCATCTGTAAATATTTAAAATGCCTGTCCTTCCTGAAATGTAACAAAGAGGGGTTGAAAGGAAATATACACCATATGCTGCATTTTTTTCGTCATTTATGTAGTTTAGTCTGTTAAATCTTTTTGTAACTACAAAATGATCTACTCTTTCTGATATACAGTGTATAGTAGTAGGACATGGGTTTTCGGACTTGAATGTACCAGGTGAATTTGTAATAAGTAAAATGTATGACATAATAGTCAAACTTGTCCTTTGCTCAAGCATACTAGCTCCTGGTAGAATATATTATAAAATGTAAGACCTCTTAAAGCATTAGTGATCTGTAAAATGAATGCTCAAAAGAGTCTATTCTGCTACTTTGCCATCTGTGCATTTTTCATTTTATTTCTTTTATTAATTTTTAATCGACCTGCAGCCTTTGCCTTGGCGATAAGCAAAGGAAAGCAGAAGACAACATATGGCAAATATTAATTACTTTGTTTATGGTGTTATTGAATGTAGTTGTGATGTGATAACAGGGTTGGCAATGTGTGGACTGAAATCTTTCCTTTCATACAAGATGAATTCTGCCTGATTTAACAGAAAATTGTCTGGTAAAGTGGCTTCATTTCTTTCAGGCTCCCTGAAGGTTTAAGAACCTATGTTGGAAGACCAGCATGTCAAGTGAAAAAAATTCTAAGTGCAGCACACCAGAAAAGTGTGTTACTTAATGATCAGGTCTGACTTCTATGTAATGAATTCTGAAGATTGCTGGAAAACTGCCATGTTTTGGAGTGGTTTTGATTTGGGGAGGGTTGTTTATTCTCTAGTAATTGAGCACTATGTAAGCAAATAATTTGTTGCTGTGTTACTAGTAATAACTAGAATTAATGTACATATATACTGACTTGGTTAGGCAAGGTTCATAAATTCAAAAAATACACTGGTGTTATGCTTGGAAACATTGTTAACTTAAAATAACTATAAAAGCTCTCTTTCCCTCCAAGGATTCACTTTGGTATGAACGGTTCCATGTGCATTAATCCTGATGGAAGCAAAGACAGAAATGGACTACTACCAGTTTTGGAGATACAGCTTACAGAGGATACTGTTTGTTTTTTTGATGTGACAGTAGAGTATAGGTAAAGCAGAAACTAACCAAATTGAACAAATTGATTTATTTATAACATTCTTTTAAGAACTTAATGAATAATCACACACAAATTGTTAAGTGCTTGGATACTATCAAGACAAAACTTTCTAAACATATCATATTTATTGGCATGGTAATTTGGTTTTGTTACTTTGTATCAGAGCTTACATAGAATTAAAGTAGTTGCATGCTGTGGTCTCATTAGATAGTGTCAAGACTGGGAATAAAAGTTTGGTTTAATTCAATCCTTAAATCTGAATGCTGAACTCCATTGCTCCTTTACTTTCCATGAAAGTGTCGCTTCCTTAACAAGAGTAACAACGTGCCATGATTACTGGCTTCAAATTTTTATGCTCCCAAGGTTGGGTTTTTATATTTCTTTTTGGAGCCAAATTGGTATAATTGTTCTAATTTACATTAAGTGGATCTTTATGTCTATCACCATTGTACTTGACACTGCTAATAAAAATTACAGCAAGCTTGATTTCAAAGTGTTTGAGGCTCTTGAGAGAAAAGGAAAATGTAAATTCGAATAACTTATATATGCATATTTAAAATTACAAAACATAAAAGCTTATGTAAGCCTGAGACATCTTGTTCTGTATTATTTTTAAATGATTATACTTAACCTAATAAAATAAAAATTTATCTTAAAAATATAAATATATATAGTCATGTTGTAACTACTAGTGATAAACTACTACTGTATATATATATTATATATCGTAGTTTATTTATCATTGTTGTAGTATATTTACATATATCATATATTATATAGATATACACACACATATAATATGTTGTAACTACTGGACCATGTCACCAGTTATTTATATTTGATGGTCCAAACACAGGAAGGGGTGGCTAATGTAATTTCTGTGCCTCTTCCTGTCACTGGTATTTTCATGGTTTCTATTATCTGCATATAATGTTCTATAATACTTTATTGTGTTCTTTTTTAAAACCATGCTGCTACGTTGGAATATTTTTAAAATAAAAATAAATCCTAATGAATTTTTTCTCTTCCAGAAATGCAGCTGAGAGTGAGCAGAAAGTGAGAATGATGGAAAGCTTGGATGTCTGTTCTCCAAAGTTTAGCTTTTTAAGAGCAGAAAGTGAGATTAAGCAGCACAAAACTCGCATGTTGTGTGATGTGTTACTGGATCAAGCAGTATTACCTGGAGTGGGAAATATCATAAAAAATGAAGCACTGTTTGATAGTGGTCTTCATCCAGCTGTTAAGGTGAATGAAATGTCTCAAGATGGTTTTTAATGACATCTAAGTATTAAGAAAGAGCCTCTGATATTAGGTTGTATCATAATTCATGAAGATATTAGGAGGGAAGTAGAAGTTGTTAACTCTACGTGTTTCATGTGGTCATTAACTCTTTGGTCAATATAGGGGAAGATAACTGAAATTTTTACCAAGACCTTTCCTTGGATGAGGGAATGCACATTGTTTGGTATGCAAGCAGTGAGTTTGTGTGGTATAGAATGTGAACATGTACTGTTTTACTGAGATGATACATATGATGTGAAGTCAGAATTATCATAACATGAAGCAGTGCAATTCCTATCAGTGTTCAAAGTGCACCTGCCTCAGTAGGTCTTTTTTCTGTTGTCCCTTAGCATTGTAATATTCTAAAAATCATTCTTGTCTTTCTCACAGGTTTGCCAACTGACAGATGAGCATATACGTCACTTGGTGAAAATGACACGTGATTTTACCCTGCTTTTTTATAAGGTATTGGCACATGTTTCTGAGAAGCCTCCAAAGCGTGACTCTGGCACATTAGATGTATGTGATCATCCAGTGAAAACAGTAAAAAGATGCAACAGGACAAGTGTTTCCTTGATTAGGAATGTTGAATTGTGTGCTCTTTATTAATTGTGAATTGTCAAATGATGGAAAAGTGGAGGAGTCAAGATTGTAAAAGTATGCACAGGTTGGCCCAGAAAAGTTTCACAGATGTTGCCTGAAGGCCAGTTCAGTTTTTCTGTGAATGTGCTGTAATGTCACTCTGAACATGTCAGAATTGATGTAGGTTAAACACAAACTTATATGTCAGGTAACATAAAGGTCACTCTTAAAACTGGAAACTAGAGATTGCCCCAGGGAATTATGAAGGTAATTCATATGGCTTCCTTTATGAAACTTAAATAGCAAGTATATTTATTTAACTAAATAGATCATAACTGCTAACTTATTTTTTTTCCCTAACTGAAACAATGGTTTTCATTGCTAAAGTGAAATAAATTACAGTTTCTCCCTACTGTCACAACTTCAGTAGGATTTAATTTCTTCCCCTGTAAAGTCTATAAGTCCTTGTTGCTCTTTAACTTTCCTCAATAGAAAAAGAGAGAACTTGACCTAATCCTTCTACATTTTATTTCTTTAAGCTGCATGCAAAGAAATGAACAGCAGTGATGAAATTCTTGTCTGTTTCTCTTGCTCTTCATGAAAGCAAGGAGCTAGTGCTGCTAAAATGTGGTTTTTTTGGTAGGTTAGGAGGAGAGTACTTGATGTTCCTAATGCCATCTTTCAATCACTAAGGTGAAAAATGTGATTTGTTTAATCATTTAATCTGCTTAACTGTTTTCTTTCCCCCAACCCACTGAAGAGTCCTTTTGGTTTATTGGCTATGGAAATCTTTTCTTTCTCCAAACTTCATAGTGAAGTCTACCAATAAAGAGATAGCATGTAGTTCTGCAACAACTATAATACTAGGAAATCTAAATGTGTCACAGGCTTTTAGACTGGTAATAAACAAGTCTTAACAAAAAGTTAAACTTTCTGTTGCTCAGTGTAGCGATTTTTAAAACTTTTACAATCAACACTTAGCAAGTATTCAACAGTCAAGTGCTTTTAAGAGCTAGCCTCTCCTTCTAAGTCTCCTTAAAATACATAATGAAAATATGATAATATGAGGCATACTGCTTAATAATTTTTTATAGACTGTTACAGATTGTACCAATCATATTGTATCATTACAGGTGCAAAGATGAAGAATCTTGTTTGTGTAAAAAGCTGTTGCTTTAGTTTGTTTTTTACATAACTGGATGGGAAAAAAACTACTCATAAGAAACTGACTGTAAACCCTGAGAAAAAAGCAAACTGTTTGTGAATATTCATGCCAATATATATTATTAATTCCTTCTGATTGAATTACTAGGTTGTACTGGCACAGGCATTCTCATTCAGCGAGGCTGATGAATAAAAGCACAGCAGAAGCAAATATGCTGTGCTCAGAGACACCTGTACTTTGGGAGAACTCCAGGAGTCTTCATACATTATGGAGCTAGAGCTATTGAACCCTGCCAGAGCTGAGCTGGTACTGCTGGGCCAGCTGTGGTATTGTTTGAACTGTGCCCAAGAAATTGCTATTTTAGTGCAGAAACTCTTGGGGCTCTGCAGTCGGCTGAATCTCTACTGGGCTCTTGTTTGGTTTTTTTACCACTTTTAGCTATATGAATTGTCTCATGAGATGTGCCTGCCTGTCAGCTGTCTGGAGACTCTTTAGGCCACTGTGCCCTTGGGCTTGTACTGTACTTAATTTGACTTTCTGCCAGGATCTAGGGAGCTTACCGTACTGCCAAGTGGCTTTTCACAAGCCAAGTTGTCTGGCATGGCCAGGGCCAAGATGAAGCTGAGGAACTTTACTGGGCACTAACCAACATTTACAGAATCCCTGGAATATTTCTGCATTGCACAATTCTGTAGGTTTTGGGAAGGTGGATTAACCCAGATTCTAGCATCAGGTCTGAGCTGGCTCTGTGGTGTGTTTTTTGTTCTTTTGGGGGTGAGGGGAGGTGGTATTGGTTTTGTGGTTTGTCTTTACTTCTGTTTTCTATGCTGCATTGATTGGACCTTATTATCTCTTCAAGAACACTCCTACAGGTGCCAGGTCAAAGATGACTGGTGCTAAATCAGAGCTAGCTGGTCCAGCTGAACTCAGGGAGTTCCTAGCATGTATTTGCTTGCACCATGCTAGTATGTTTTTTTTTGTCTATCTTTTATTCCGTTATGTGGAGAATTATAGACTCTGTTATAACTGATTTGTCAATTTTTTACATAAAATAATATGAAATTCAGATATAGCCCTTATGAGTGCACCTTAAATCATCATCTAGTCATTGAGCTGTCAGTTTATGTAGGGTTATTTTTATTTTAGCTTCAGACTCACATAAAATTTATACTGAGTCTCTAACATGGATTGATACGTGTTCTGTTTTAGTGCCGCAAAACTGGGTCCCCACTCTACAAACACTACAAAGTGTACAAGCGCCCAGCCTGTGGGCAGTGCAGTGGGAACATCACTGTGTGTCGTCTAGGAGAGAATAACAGGATGACTTACTTCTGCTCCCAATGTCAAAAGGCGGATCCCCAGCTTATCAATCTTAGGTATGATGGTAACTTTGTGACACTTTTAAGCACCTCAGAGTGTTGATATAGTAAGAGGACATCTCTTTTCAAATAGAATGGATCCCTGTGCATTTTATAACTAAATAAACTCTATGCTAGATGAGGACATGACACCTTGCAAAAGAAAAATGTTTGGGCCATTGGTATTTAAAAGTGGTTAGAAGCTTTGATTCTTTGATACTATTTCTTTCAAAGGCCCCATCTGTCATGAAGTAGCTATTACTGTAATCAAGTGTAGGAATTATAAAACAATTCAGAGTACTGAGAATTGTTTACTGAAATTAATTCGTTGGAAAAGTTGCCGCTTGTTCTTGGTGTTATCAATATAATGGTCTTGGATGTTTACATACAACTGAGTTGAATAGCATAAAGCAGGAATTTGTGTGTCTCTCTTTTCACAGGATAGCCCCCTCACAGTTGTTCTGGCTTTAGAGTTATAGTGAGGATAACTAAAACTTCAGTAAATTCAGAGTGCAGCAAATATTGTAGGAGCTTAGGATTTTTTCTTTTCTTCCTCCTTATCGGTTTTAAAAAGCTTTTGCTATAGGTGTGCCATAGAGGCACTTTGAGTTCCACATAAATTGTGCTAGCAGCAGCTTTCCTCCTTTTATTTCAGGAAAGCAGAAAATGCATTTGATATCACAAAGGGTCAAAAGGTAGAAGTTCCAAAAGCATCTTATTCAGGCTTAGATACCTATGTTATTCTTGAAAATTTTCATCTGAGGCTTCAGAATTTTGCCTTTTTATACTGAGCTCTGTCAATTTAATATAAGATACTGCTTCACTTTGCAAACTTTGCCTTCATTAGTGTGTGTGTATATATATACATTTTTAGATAAGATTTATGGAACACACAAATCCCTCTCCTAGCTCCAAGCTTCTTTTAAGACTCAGATGGCTGAAGGGATTTTGGTTAAAGCTTAAAAATCACTTTTGAGTACAGATCAAATATAGAAAATTCCATCATGGAAGATAAATATTTCACATGCTGATAACCCCAATCTGCTGTATTTTTAGAAAGTAATAATGAGAAATATATTGCAGAAGGATAGGAAGACAGCAATGTTCCATTGAGTCGGATAATGAGAAAAGGATGGAAGGAAAAAATCTCTCTCTCTCTGTTCTAGAACAAGTAGTGATTTGGGGTTTTGTTATTGTATTTTTAAATAAATAATTAAACCGTACTGTATTTCAGTGAAAAACATTGTAATGGTAGCTATAAAATACAAAGGTTGTTTCTTATGTTGTCCTTATGCTAATGGTCAGGTCTTTGTTTTCTACTGGTCTTTTTTCAATTATGCAGTAACCATTACCATGTAAAAGTATATGTAGCTCAAGTGATTTATCTACTAATCCAAGCTTTTCACATTTGAAGACTTGAAAGACACCATGTGATCAGACTGACTTGCTTCAGATTATAAACTATAGAATTTAACCCAGTGGTTCTTGGGTCAAGTCAAGTAGTTTATGATTTTGCTCAACTGAAGAAATGAAGAAAATACCCTTTATAAGCTTACCTCATCAAATTCAAATGTACCTTGAATCTTAAAAATACACTTTCCCCCCCATATTTCATAAAATGGGAAGGGAGTGGGGGAGATGACATGATGTGACAGACAGACCAGAGGAACAACATGGAATTAAACTCCAAAACATGACATGCTGAATATACTCAGTCTAGTAAAGCATTTTTGATAACTGAGTAGAACAATTGATCTAATAATGTGAAAATACCCATTTTAACATTTAGAGTTTGGCTGTTTTGTTATCTAGCCACAGTATTTTGATGAATGCTACTGTAATGTCTGTTCTACCTCTTGACAGCACAGGATCTCTGGTGTGTCAGCAGTTCTCATTATCCTCCTTAGTCTTCTTGTTGTGGAAGACATGTGGTAGGTAGTGGATATGTCTACCACTGTCTTAGGAATCTAGTCTGATATGGCAAGTGCTAATTATGGGAAAAGTGATAGGTCAAGGGAGTGTCACACATATGTTCCCAACCACAGCATTTGCATTATTAATTGAAGCGCCTAAATTCTTTGGATTGAAAGAAGTCTCCAAAATTGCACAAAAGCTGTGGAGAAAAACACTTGACAACGTATCAACCGTGAGTTGGTTGATAATATAGTACTTAAAAATGTAAGTACGTAACTTAGTGAACAGGTAAGTTCAAGTCACATTTAACTTGCTGTCAATGTTTGGATATAGTGACTATAAAAGAGTAACTATGATTCTAAATCAGTGTATCAACATAGGAATTATTATAATTTACAGGAAAATCAATAGAACTAAATATTTAGAGGTACCTGGAGAGTATGGCTTTGGCTCACATGTCACAGCTAGGATCCTTAATTCTGAACAGGCTCCTACATGTTAAAAGGCTTTCTAGCAAATAGTGACAAACAAGAGACTTTCTAACTTTTAAGGCTTTCAGTGCTGTTGGCTGTTATGATAACAAAGAGGACTTATGTATAGCAGTTAAATGAGAGCAAAAAAATTAGTTTGCTAGATTATGTGACTTTCTGCAGTTCAGTTTCTAAACAGTTCTTCATCCAGTAATGCAGTTGTTAGTAAGTGTTCTGTACAAGGGAGCCCTGAAACAGTCTCCCTTTCTCACCAAGTTTTTTGCTGCAGTACTTGAAAACGGTAGGGAATTTGAGAGGCTGGGGCATTGTGCTGGAGAGTACCTCAGTTAATAATTAACTTTCTGTCAATTTCTTGTTTAAATATTTTTATTTGTATTACTTGTGCAGCATCTGGAAAGATTTGCCCTTGAGTTAAAGAAAAAAAAAATCAAACTTGAACCATGACATGCTGTCCAAGCTATGATAGGCAGGCATAACACTCTGTGCTGTTTGTTCTCTGGCCCTGTGCCTCCCTGCACATAATGGTGTAAGGCAATTTGTAGAAGGAACGTCAGAAAATACTAACATCATTCTTTTGTTTCACAGCAAACTGCCAACTAGAAATAGCCTAATTGGCTGGGCATATGGCAGGGGGTCATGTTCTAATGAACATGTAGCTCAGAGATCTGAAGAGGAGTGGACGTGTACGCGCTGTACCCTAACAAACAAGCCTTCTGCTGAAATTTGTGATGCCTGTTTGACTTCAAGGCCTGAAGGTACTGAAGAGTCGTCTGGCATCTATGCTGGGAAAGGGGGGAGAACTGTGGTTTTGATGTAGTTTTGAGAATTGTAGAAGTGTCTTATTGTGAATCGTATTTATTTAACTTTAGCTAATTTGAAGTCAGATTTGGGGAAATCTTACACAGACAATCATGGAAACTGTCTTGTCTTACACCCTAAAAGTGTATTCCAACTTTATGTGCAGGTGGGATTCTATAAATACGTCTCTTCAGTGACCCTTTATTTTTGTTGGGGCAAGGAGTGAGACACATCACCATACTTTCAACGTTTCTTAAAATCATTCAAAGTTTGCTGCATAAGTCTGAATGAAAAATCAACAGCGGACAGAAAAGTAACTATTATTCTTTCATGCGAACAAAAGCAGTATATTTTGGTACCCTTTTCTAAAAGGATGTCAGTTTCTCAGGAGCTGTTTTTTTTCCCTCCAAGTTCAGAGTAAAAATGATTCTGGACTTCTTACCTAAATCTGTTGTTAGTCTCTTGCTGGAGCTTCTAATGCTGTTATCTACAGGAAGTATTGCTTCCTTGCTTAATCCTTTTATGAATGGAGTGATGTGTGTGAAACTCTTATCTCACACCAGCTAAAGTCCATTCCCTCAGGTCACGAATCAATAAAAGTACATCTTTGTGCCTTTCATGACAGGTTTTGCCAGCACAGGCTAATCTTGCATAATTCTTCTGCAAAATCAGCACCAGAAACCTGAAAATTTTAATCTGTTCCTCGAATCAGATTTACCAACTAATATTTACCCTGGAGTTAATACTGTCAGCTGAACCTTAAAATATATACTGTCATATGCACAAATGCTTTATTTTAAGCTTTGAAAAAAATCTTATTCCTTCTTCTGGACTTATAAGTTATATAAGTTTAACTTATTTAGTTATATGCCATTACTGAAAACAGGCCTGGAATTTGAAGATGTGTTGAATCTGGTGGAATGCTGTTGGAAAAATTCTTTTTTTAAAAAAAATAAGATTCATTTTTGCATCATAGGAGTGATATTTGAATTTTTTTTTAAGATGAGTTTGCTTACCTCTCTTTTTTTCAAACCTTAAGATTTCTTGCCTTCTCACTTTGTTCAGTGTTTGTCTTTTTATTGTTTCTAAAATTAAGTACTGTCAGCAGAAATGTTTCAATTTTTGAGGACAGAGTACTTGGTATGTAAAATTAGCTGCTGGCCATACTGCCAGAATAATTCAGTCTGTAGACACAGGTAATTGCCATTATATCACAATTTCCTTACTTCTTTGCTAAGTACAAGGCCAAGCTACTGTTCTTTCTTGAAAGGTCTGAATGCACTGAAACCAGTATGTTTCACCGTGCAGCAGTAGCAAAATGGAAGGAGCCTGGAACCAAGTAATGTCCCGAGTAAACTGTAGAGATTCTTATTTTGTTTGAGTGAGAATGCCTTTGGAGAGAGTGTACCCTTCTGTGTGCCTTGCCTACCCATTTTTCTTCTGCTTAATTCCCTCTTTTTTGTGTGGAGGGAAGATAGAGGAGGGAGACACACTATAAGTTGCCCACTAGGCAGGTCTCTGATTCTGTGAAGGAACTGTTGGTTCATGTCAGGAAATATACACAAAGCACATGTCTGAACTGCTTGCTTCATAAAAGCCTCTTACAGTAAGGGAAGGACAGGAAAACTGAAAACACTAGAAAACCCAACAAATGAATATTCCTTTTCGTGTCAATAATAAAATAATACTTTAAAAATGTATAATGCATTGCTACTTGGAGGTACCATACCCCGTGGTCTCCCATTGCAGGCGTTTATAAAAGATTATTTTAAAAAATATAAATATTTTAATCCTTGTGATTTTATAAGGTTATTTGTCCAGTAGTTTTCATTTACAGAGTACTATTAACATTTGGTCCTGTTTAAGCAATAGTGATGTTATCTTGAAACACGTTTTACATGATTCCAAAAGTGCATGAGCTTTTCTTAGTGTAAGAAATTTGGTACTCTATCTAACCTTTGACAGATCTTTCAAGATGGTATTGTAAATTTGCTCTTTCACTTTCCATATGATGACTTATGAATACGGATCAGAAATATAATGTCTAACTCCATGCAGATGGATTATAACTAATAACTTCTTTCCTTAGTTCCAAAGATGGAGAATGTTGAAGATTCTGCAGCTTTTGACGTAAACTTAATGAAGTACCCTTGTAATGAGTTCAGAAAACCAAGCACAGAAATAAAGATCAATAGGAGAACTGCATTTGGGACTACAACTCTTGTCTTAATAGATCTTGGTAACAAAGATGTTTTGAGAAATGGTACCCAAATATCTGATGGACACTCTCAGTGTGTTGCTCCAAAAAGCAGTTGTAAACAGATCCAAAGCAATGCCTACCAGTCAGAGGGAAACATAGGCAAGGATTGCTCAACACACGGAAATGCTATGGCTTTGTCCTCCTGTCAGCAACCTGTCTCTTTCCAACACATACAGAAGAAACAGAAAACTGATCATATACCCTCAGTTCACGAATACAATATAGCAATCAGGTATGTATTCTAAAATAAAAACAAGTCTTTATAATCCCATAAATGAACTTTATCCCCAAAGATTAATGGAATACTGTGCTGTTGGGCTCAGACAGTGTTGTCTTTGGATTTCTGCCAGAGGTAACTTATTCTAGGCTAACTATAATTTAACATGATTTCAATAGCACTGAATGACCTAGGCTGTCACTGGAAAAGTCCTCATTTTGGCCAGTACTGCTGTTAGCTAAACAGCTGTTCATAGTTCAGCTATTCCCATGGAATAGTGCAGTATAGCTTTAATAGGTGAACAAGCACAGTTCTGCCTAAGGAGTTGTTTGATCTTAGCGCTCTAGTTGCCACTGCTTAGAGAGATCTTGAAGTCATTGTGAAAGATTACAAAAGGAAGCTAGGTGAATGAATATATTCTAATTAAAATTATTTGTCAACTACCAGTTTTCAACATTTTCCATGATAGCAAGCTCTATACAGGTGCCTTGATGAACTTTCCATCACTGTTTTTACTCTTAACTTCCATCCCCATTTTATACAATCACTTTAGTGCTCTACCCGTCCTGAATTTTTATTTACACAGCCCTGTTCAGACACATTCATTGCCTAGTTAAGAGAAATGTGAGAATCTATGAGGGTTGTCAAGGAAAAGTTGGGCACACATACACAGCAGTAATGGGAGTGCAAGGTAGATGTCACTTACAGTGGTAAATTTTGCAGGCTGAATGTGAAATATTGATGATATGCCACAAAATTCCTGGTCATGTGTCTGTTCTGAAATACAGAAATTACCTCTTGCATTGTTGAAGCACGAATTTTGAAATGGGATCTCACTGACTAGCCAGGCTAGACTGTGTGAATATAATTTCTCCTTGCACTCTCAGCAGAGGACTACTGAGGATGTAGGCAGGATAACTGAGAGTACAGATGACTGCAAAGAAGAAATGAGGCAATATCAATCATGAAAACATGGTAGTTGAAGCAAGTCATCAACTTAAATGTTTTAAACAAAATTAAAAAACAAACTGAAAAAAACCAACCAAAACCAACAAAAAAATCTGTTGGCCATTTTTATCTTCTTGTGTTTTAGTGAGTCATTGGAAGAAAACTGCTGATGTCTGCAGGACTGCAATCTTCCAGACATAGAAGAGAACATAAAATTCCTAAGCTTGAACAGAATGAATTAATATTTTCTTTTTTCACTAAGGTCCCATCACTGCTTTTCTGTTCTATAAATGTATCGGAAAGCTACATTTCAGAGCATTCATCTTTTTCATGTTACGTTTTTTAAATGAAACCTTGTGTATTGCATTCAGATAATCTCTGACTATCTCAATCATGAGGAAGAAAGAGAGAAACTTTATCCCATTCAGAGAACTCTGTTCCATCCCCTCAGCTGGACTACTTCTTGTCCAAATATGATTTGGCATTCCTGTAACTTTTTAGTAAAGAGGGTGGGAGTCTTTTCTGTGAAGCATACAAATGCCTTCAACCTGGAGTAATGACTTGGTATTGGTTTTTTTCCCACCGAGAGCAAAATACTCTTTTAAACTGTGTCAGAATTAGGGGTGGGGAGTATAATAGCAGTGGTAATATTTAGTTTTGTAGATGAATTTGAATACTTCAGAATAATTTAAAACGTGGTGGGGAGAACTGGTGTAATACCTCAAGAAAAGCACATAGTCTTGTCTCTTTACTTCTAGCAGTCATTAAGCTTTAAGGACACAATAGGGTGCATTAGAGAAGCAAGCTTTTTGCCTGTCATTGTGTGTAAAAGTACACTGAGTGAGCTATTGTAATGGTAGGAGAGAATTCTTTGGCTGGTAACCCCTTTAACTTTTCGCAGGAGTCATTTTGTAACTTGTCATTACAGCGCACCTCAAACTAATGTGACAGATGATACTCATACATTAAGCATGGGCCATCCTCGCTGCAGAAAACACAGCCGTCTCTGCAGCCTCAGGGTGGTGAGAAAGGACGGAGAAAACAAGGGCAGGCAGTTTTATTCCTGCCCTCTACCCAGGGAAACCCGGTGTGACTACTTTCAAGTACGTATAAGACTTAAGGGCTTGTTTTATAATAAGCAGTTGTTCCTGCAGCCTCCTTGCCCCAGTGATCTGAAATTGTGGACAGATATATTGCATTTAAAGTTTGAGGTAATTCTAGATACTTTCACACACTGAATTGAAACTAAGACCATAATAGTAGTTATAAACTTACAGTTTTAGTTACTTCTCTTACTGTTGAAAAGAGACCTGCTTGTGCAAATGCTCCTAATCTGCTTCCGTGTGATGTAAGACATATGCATGGCAGAAATATTGGTTTGAAAGGGCCTTGTACAAGTTGTTCAGATCAGCATCTTGCTCGAAGGAGGACTATGGCAAACTAGATCTAATCATCAGCCTTGTTTCTGTCTAGCCAAAATTTTGAAAGCCTTTTAGAATGAAGATTCTATAATCTGCCTGGGCAACTGCTCCCACTGTTGCACTAATACTTAACCTGACCTTCCTAGCTGGAATTGGTGGCCACTGCTCCTTGCTATGAATGTTTGTGTCTGAGAAGAGTTTGACCTGGTGAGTGACCTGGCAGTCACTTACTATCAAGTAGTTAACAGATGAAGTTAAGACAGTAATGACTATAATGCCTTAATTTGAAGAAAACTATGTGTTAACATCAATTAAAGTTGCACCAGTCAAAGTGTGTGCAGTTGCAACTGATGTTAAAGAAAAATCTAAAATAGTGATCACAAAAGAGATAAAACTATCCTAACTACTAGGGACAGTTTCTTCTAGGGTAGAATGCCCTGTAGATCTGTTTCTATTGTCAGTTCTAAAATATGGAATTAATAGCCATCACATGTGCCTAAAGCCTGTTTCTTTTGGCAGTGGGCTGACTTGGATTTTCCATTTTGTTACCATGGCAAGCGATGCATTATGAAGACTGTGTTGAAGATTGGTCCCAATAACGGAAAGAACTTTTTTGTGTGCCCTCTCGGGAAAGAAAAACAGTGTGGCTTCTTCCAATGGGTAAAAAATGGGCCAGGTATGCAGATTCTTCCTTGATGGTGATGTTACAGTTACCTGCTCCTCAGGATGTCTTAAGCGCATACAACTTTCGTAGTAATTTCTGGTTTGTTTTGACTTTCTCTCTGTTCACTGGTTAATAAGTAAAATAGCTCCAACGTAAAGAACAGCAGATCTGGAAAGAGTAACTTTACATAGTCCTATAAAAATTTAACACTGCTTGTATGCTGCCTACAATTTTGAAATAAATACTTAGCTTGCAATATATACTGTTGTATTTCTAATAAAAAAATTTAACTCTTTTCTTTTTTCATGCGATGTGGCTACTAAATTGGTAGACTTTATTATAAGTGTAAACATGTATTTAATAGAAGTGAATAAAAAGATTATTATATATATATGTATTTTTATGTATATGTATTATTAATACCACTTCATGCTTTATTTACTCAGAGCTTAAAATGAATCAGCAATGGACTGTACCCTTCAAATGTTACAATAGTTAATTGTCTGACTTTGCTTAGATTTGGAAAACAAAGACAAAAACCTGCCTTAAAATGAAGAACATGACTTCTGTTTTCTAAATTACATATTCTAAATTCAGATCTGAATGTTTTATTCTAGTTGCTACTGAACATTTTTGCCCCCACATCCATGTGTAATGAATAATAAAATCATACGTCTGAGGTGGTTAAAACTCAGTTTATGTTTGGTTGTCTTACCACTATTTGCTGAAGCAAGGGGAAAAGTAAAAACAATATGCTAAGCTATCAAATGAAAAATAAAGCAGAAACAGAATTCTTCACATCTTTGGAGCATGTACTATAGATAACAAGGAAAATGAGACTAATGAAGATAATGGCCATAGCTTCATAGATTATTGATTCACAATCAGTCTTTAAAGAAAGTAATGGAAAGTAGTATTGCTTCCCACCAAAAACGGTCTGGATGAAATAGGTTTAAAAGCACCTTGGAAATGGTCCTTCAGTCTATGGTCTATGCAAATACTTCAGAATTGTTTCCCTTTTTTTCTTTTTTTTCTTGATGGGGGGAAGGACTGCTTGGTTCTCTTGAGAAAGTTGTGGAACTTCAGTCCAATTTAAACCTTCCATTCCATGGTGAAAGTGAAACTTCAATTCTTCCCCTAGTCAGCACAGATTCAGAGGCTTTTTTATTCCTCTTTTCAGTAGCCTTTGATACTTTTGAAATCTTTTAAAACTTTCCTTACGTGAAGCAAATCTTTAATCAGATTATAGAAAGTGTACTCCTTATGTTGCTCAGTGGATGCTTTTCATATATCTCTTTCATGAGGTACACAACTCCACCTGAGAACAAAACAAGCTATTGCACATGGTGATACTGATTTTTTCCCATTACCATCTTTCTATATGATGCTTCTTGTTACAATAATATGTTGCTGCTAGCTTGTGCTTATACATCTAAATTTTAAAATTGTTATCTAACCAGTTCCTTACTTATATTTGTACAATTCCTTACATTGATAAAGTGTTTGATTATTTTTAAATTTAACATGCTTTTGGATGTCTTGCACAGGGATAAATCCTAAGTAGTTCAGTTAAACTTGAAAAATAAAAAAGAAATACAACCATTTTTGATCACTTGCTTTCTACAAATATTAAGATTTCACTGAAGCTGTAAGCTAAATGACTTTTTCAAACTTTGACGCTTGAAAAATAACAATTAGGTTATTATATGTTTTTATTTTAGTTTAATAGCCAGACAAGAAGTGAGTATGTGTTTACATATAACGCATACAAGTTTTAAAGCATTAACTGCTTTTATTAGCTACTGCAATCACTTTACTTTTCTTGTATTTCTAGAACATATGTTTGTTGTTTTGTTTTGGTTTTTTTTAAATCTGTTTGGAAGTGGTGGTATATTTGCATCAGCCTAATTTTGCTATATGCTATATATCCTAGTTGTATAACATCACAAGGAGAGAAAAGGCAGACAGGGGAATAACAATGGGTAAGGATACGCTGAGCTTATTACAGTGAACTAGGATCTGGAGGAATTTGACATGTTTACACATAAGGGAAGTAGGAAACTAAGAAAGAGACAGTGAATTCCAATTCACTAGATGCCTCTACAAACCTTACTGCTTTTGCAAATACTGGGGTTTTTGGCTTTTTTTTAGCTTTTGTTTTCTCCTTCTCTTGCAGAGGACAGCACTTTGTAACTTGCTTAATGAGCTATGGCTGATAGCTGGTTATAAAAAGTTTTAACCAAAAAAAAGCTGGCAACAAAACTTATCTTGGAATAGATCCCCACTCAACCTTTCAAAAAGAAACTGCAACCAAGGGTGCCAAAAAAAGAAGACAGTTCTTGAAAAGATCTCTTTTCTTTGCTCAAGATAAAAGTCATGATTTTCAGCTTTTGTCCGAATAGTTTACAAATGTGGTTTTATTTTTTCACATTGATTCATCTGTTACAGTGCAAGTGATGGAACACGCTTCTTTCAGATTTGTATCTGGCTTACACATTTTAATGGCTTATGTTGCACTCAATCAACTGCAAAGACTAAAAACAATAACAAGATCTAAGTTAAAAGAGGGAACTGTCTATCCCAAACATTTTCTGTAATTTATATTCCTAACAAAAGCACATGTAAATTGCCTTTAAAGAAATACAGCTACTTTTCAAGACCTTAGGGTTCTGACACAGTTGTTACTTTGACCTGTACCCAAAGACAACTAAGAGCAATGGGATTATTACCAGTGTCTACAGGAGGCTGTTAGGACTGATGGGCTCACATAAGCTCCTTTGACTACACGGTTTCTGAAACGAGGTCGTGATGGCAGTTCTGTAATACAAAGGAGACTTTCAGTAAAGCTGACTTCTAGTACTCTTATGTACAACTTTGAGAGAGATTTTTTTAGACATTAACACTACAAAGTGATAGCATGACTCATAACAGAAACCTGTCTCTCACCTTAAGCTGAAAACACTTTTTCTGGTTTTATATACCACAAAACTAATTTCATAAAGGCCCCGCACTCAGCTGAGATGTATGCAAAACAGTTTTTAGAGGATCAAATCAAGGTCACACGAGTTGTGAAGTAAAAATTTTAAACTCAGAAAATGTTAATTCCATGTGCCATGCCCAGTTTATGGTAGTACTTCAGTTACTATTACAGTTTAAGTAAGTTTAGGCAGAGCATATCTTTCAGTTTGAAACTAATGTTTATTTTCCTATTTGTGCCATTCAGTTTAGAATCAACAGATTTAATGCCCAGTTTCATGTCTTCATACCCTTATTTAAAGTACTTTTATAACCAGCTATTTGTAAAGACAGACATGCATATTTCTTAATCTGCACATGCACAACTAACATTTGATGTCAATGCAAATTCAGCAAATAGATGAACAACATAATACTTACATTAGTAGTTCACTGAGGGAGAACTAAATTTACACTGAAAATATGCACTCAAGTTTTGAGACATTACTATGTCACAGCTGTGACTACAGACCTCTACAATTATACAACTATTTCTGTATCCACCTTCCTGTGTAAAAGGGTGCAAGTTCTCACTTGTTTTTCTGGAATGGAAAACATAAGTGAGAATCTTTTAGATTGATGGTGAAAGAAGCAGAAGATGCCATCCCTTCCTTAATATCTGTATGAATGTTCATCATTAGTCGCTAAGCACCTTTCATGTGAAATCAAAAGGTATTGTAAAGTCTCTAAAAGACTTCATAGCAACTGTGAACAAAATCTCTCAACAAAATTCCCAGAAGATTTAAAATTCTTTTCAATGTCTCTTGTACCTTTCTGCAATTTAACTTGCTGATGACAGCCAGAGTTCAGGATCTAGTGTAACTTAATATGCTGTACGTCTGTTTTTTATTTCTCTGATGCCTGAAAGGTTTTTTATTATGTCCACTTTTTCCTTGAATATTCGAAACATGCATTCAAAACTCATATAGAAAAGTGTGGAAATACGCTATAATTTATCTTAGTGGAACAACGACATAAAATCCAACCTAAGGAGAGAACCCAATGAGAGAACCATTTTCCAAATAAAAACTTATTAAAAATGCATCAAGTATACTTATGTGTGAGTAGAATTCCAAGTGTACACAGTATGGTCTAAACATAGTTAGTTAGTGCTTTAGTTATTTAACTTATTGAATTGCTGTTGCTGTAGGAAGTGCAGATCCCTGCAGAGTTTGTAGGCTTAATAATTTTTTATTATAAAATCAACTTCAACAACATGACTGCTGTTAGTCACGTGATATGATCATACTGTGAAAAGATGCTAACACTGTTGTCTTTTAATACTAAAGTTTCAGATGAGACCTTAACAGAAAAATGGCAGAGTAAGAAGAGTCCTGTCAGAAGGCACTGAAATCAGCAGAGTTTGACTTAAAGATGGGACAAAATTGCGTAGTTAGGAACACTAAAGGGAAAAGTGAGGGAAGAGTTCTTCTGCTTTGGCAGGAGAAGGCCCTTTTGACTGGTTCAGCTACAGATGGAGCTGACACCTAACTCAGATGTATGTCTGTGTGGTCTTTTACACCAATCTGTACTATTTCCATCTGTGTTTTAGATCATCTAAACAAATTAACTGCAATCCAACTGCTCTGTGCTCAGATTAAACAGACTTTAATCTCAATTTATGAGTAAATCCAACTGCACGTTTCACTAGACTAAAAACCAGCCTATATATAAATGCTGCTGACTGGTCTGTGCTTCAGGCAGACTCCAGCCAGCTCCAAAGGTACAGTACTTGAAGTGGACCTTACCACAGCAGCTTGGGCATCACATATTACTTAGAAATATTTGTTCACATATCTTTAAATATAGAAATGATTACATAATCATCTTCTCTACCCCTTTGCAGAAAACAGGTACATTTAGAAATTTTTTGTGGCTATTTCCTTCAATAGTCCTCCTATCACAGGAATCATGACAACCATGACAGTAATTATCTGATATGCAGAAAACCTTTCATAATCTGTTAGAGACTGGGACACTGTAGTATGGAAAAGGAAAAAAAAAAAACCACCTGAAATAGAGAAAACAGGGATCACCAGCTTTGCTACCCAATGAAAATGAAAGTATACTCAAGTAAAACTTCCTCTATTTAAAATCAAGTATATTTAGAATTACCTTGCTTTACTGAAAGCTGCTAAGTTAAAAGAATACTGCTTGTATCCAGTGAAAATAGTGTTTCCTAGGTGTTGCAAATAATAAAAAGCTTTTGCATTGCAACCAGACAGTAAGGTCAACAGAAATGACCTCCAATTGTCCTTTATGTCCATTCACATATAACTTTTCCCATGATGGTAAATATATTATCAGTAATAGTAATTTATTCTATAATTTCTTTGTGGGTCTGCCTGATGCCTCTAATTCTTTTTTCTGGCATATGAGCAAGTCCAGCTATTTTTTGGGTTTTGCTTTGAGTTGTTTGTTTTTGTTTTGTGGTTTTGTTTGTTTTGTTGTTAGGTTTTTGTTTTGGTTTGGGGTTTGTTGTTGTTTTTTTTTTTTTTAATATTAATTTCTTTTTTTTTTTTTTAACTAGTAACAGCTAAAATTTTTTCCAGAAGTTTTACAAGACTCTCCAAATAAGGTGTGAGTTTAAGGCAGTCAGGATTCAAGAAAATATTTACTCAGATTGCAGAAGAAAACAAAACAATTCCCACTTATTCCCTGCAATAAGAACTAACAAATGTAGCTCTTTCAGTTATAAAATATATGAAACATATATTTCATATATGTGCTTGGCCATATGATTATCTGATTACCATTCATAGCAATTACAGTCTCTCACCTAAACCAGTGTGCAGCACATCCACTTTTCTCTTCAGGTTGTAACACCACTTTACCAGATAGCTTACCCCAGAGCATCATATCTGAACATAGGTCCTGGTTACCCTGTTATATGAGGCTAAAGTAAACATTCTCGAATGTAAGAAAGATTTACTGATCATTAATTAATTACTCGGATTACAATGATAACTATTAAATTGTTCTCCTATGGATAAACTGCTAATGTTGCCAGAAGATCATTGCAAATATTGAAATTGATAACAGTGTAACAGGAAGAGGTTTGTATCATTCTCCACACAGGGATGGTAGGCCTGACATTTTGATTGCATAAAGGGAAGGGTTGTGCCTAGGGTGGCAATCTCACATCTTCGGTTTGAGAATAAAATTTACTCATTTCATAGGTATAACAGAATGCCTAGTTTGTAATCCTGTGGTGGTTCAGCATGAGACAGGTATGCTGTTAGTCATCCAGAATTAAGTCATTTGGAACAGACAGTTGTTACTATGAAAATTTAATAGATGGGAATTTAAGGAACCACACTGATAGAAGATTCATGATGTCAGAAATCTACATTTTTTTTTTTACTCACCAGAAAGTTGCCCTTAATGTCTTGTTGTTAGTGAACGGCTCAGGAACCTTCTCTGTTTTCTGAGCTCTGCTGGTACTCAAGGAATGCTTACCACATGCTTGGTACCACATGCTACCTAACCAGTACTGACAGGAACAGACATATGTCAGGGTGTGTTTCCTCATGGAATCTTACTTCCATCTTCCCAGTGAAGCAGATCTTCACATGCTATCTTTCTCACCATTTCATGTTTCACCTTGTATGAATGAATCGCTACTTATTAAAGGAAAATAAAGAGGAAAAGATTATTTGGCCTCAGTGTTTTAGGAGGATCAAGCAGGTTTATTATTTGAACATAGATTTTCATGTTTCACTGTCTGCTGATCAGCACTCAGTGTGCCAGCAAGTCCATCCAACAAGGCCCTGGGGTTAGAAGAGAACAACTGGAGCTTGAGGGCCTGTTAGCTTCCTAGCATTAGAAGCTACTGATTTTATGCAACCCCACTAACAGAAACACATACAGATGTGGGATACCTACAAAGATAGAAAGCAACACCTGATACAAAGCACACAGGTTCTCATAAAGCTTAAAATGTTGGACTCTGGTACCTAGGTCTCTTCTGGATTTTCCCAAGAAAGGGCAACTTTTTCCTTTTTAAGGATGGAGTACTCTAATCTTTGCACACTGATCAGCAGTTCTGTATTGTTCAGTGATTTCGTTATTCGCTGTGAGTAATACTTTAGAGGCACTTATGTGAGATGGTCTATTATATGACCGGATTGCCTCCAATTCTAGTATGCATTTGAAGTTCTTCCCAAATGCCAAGTCTGGAAAAATCACAGTTACAAAGCAGAGCATAATGGTTGACACTGATTGGCATACTACGAATAGCTCCCTGCCTGACCAAAGTACAGAAATGATAACTATAAATGACAGTTGGAATATTTATCTGGAATTAGCACTTACATTTCTCATAGTAAGGCACTACATTATTGTTATAAAAGTATAACTTTATGCAAGATCAAACTTCTATTCTCAAGTCTGAAAGAGTCTTGATTTTTCAAATTAAGTTACAGGGTTATAGCTCTACTCTTGAATGTGCCTGCAGATGTTATCTTAGCTCCTCTGAGTATATTGGTGATTGTCTCTTCCCTAAAATTCTTTGTGATTCAGTAACCAGGCATCCCTGTGACAGAAATCCCCACGAGTCCAATATCATAGTCTGTCCAAAACACAGTGGTATTAACACAAAGCACATTTTACAGTGACTTTCAATTAAATAGCCAGTCAAGGAGACTGAATTCATGGTTCTCATTTTCAGAAAGCATTGTAGTAACAGATGCTCTAAGTATAAGATTAAGTTGTAAAGCCTCCTCCGGCACTAGAAATTCAAAATCACATTTTAAGAGGTGATGATCAGAAAAAACTTGAATGGGGACTTTGCACTTTCCCATCCTGAAAATGTGAAACCTATAGTAGATAACTAAGTATTTGCACGACAGCAACCGATTTTACTGGGGAGAAATAGTAAATAGGCATCTACCCTGAGGGTTAAATCATGAAACCTGCAGAGAGACAGGCACCTTACTTTAGTCTACAGGAAAATTTTGAAGAGTATTCTGCCAAACTAAGTATGTGCTGTCACCAATTGGATTGTTTCCCATGCTCCTCAGTGCCCTCCTGCATATTCCTGCAGTCTACCCTGTGTTGGTATTAGCAGCTGTGCGGCCGTAAGGTAAAACAGAAAAGCTTGCTTACTCACATTCTAAAAAAGAAAAAAAATAATAGTTTTCAGCCAGACAGCAAGCTGATCCATTTTGTGGAGCTGCACAATCACCAGAACCACCTGCATAACTGAAGAGAGAACACATACTGGAGGATGTGGGTAGTACCAACACTTTTGGGGCAGCAAAATCTTTATCCAGCTGAAACCATCCTCGAGAGATGAACAATCTTAAAATATAACCTTGTCTTCAGCACTTCACTATTAGTTAATTGTTCCTTGTTCATTATAGTTGCATTTTGTGGATTTTATTACCACTGCTGTAACTATGAGTCTTGGAGGTCAAGTCATGGCAATAAGGATGGTATGATATATACTCCTGATGCATACTCCCCCAGGAAACAAGTACAGTCAAATTGCCTTGGAGCTGTTTGTTGCTGCTCAGAAGTTATAAACCCCACAGCAGAGCCAATGGAATGGGGTGCAGGCAACTACTATTCTCAGTGCAAGATGGAGGTCAGAGAGGTTAAACTGCTGGATCTGGCATGAAGCACATCCTAATCTGCCAGTCCTGCTATTGGAACAGTAATCTCCAAGAAAGAAACACAGCAGGCAGGGAGAAGTAGCACTGCAGAAATCAGTTAAAGGTGACAAAAACTCTTAAGCTCATGTGACAAAGTGATGTTACCCTGAAAAAACCATTTTGGGGCTAGCACTGTCACTAAGCAGTAACAAAAACTGTCATAACTCTTGCTGAGAAGTGAGATCACAGGACTTTTTGTGTTGACAGATTTGAAATAATGGATACAGATTGAACTTAAATAGCTACAGTTCATTAACATGAAGCTACTCCAACATAATTTATTTTCTACTTTATAACATACAAATTAGTCTTCAGTAACAACCAAATTAGCAAAACACACTTGACTGCATATGAATTAAACTTGTTTATAATACATTTTACATCCACTCTTTTAATTTATAATATTTTACTACATCCATTACTGTAAATCTTTCAGAAAAAAAACCCACATAACTAAAGAACTGGTTACACAGGAAAAGTAGGAAACTCTCAGTTCTACATTGTTCTTCAATGCTCAGGAAAAGTGCTACAGATAAAAATATTAATTTAAGAGAAGTTTCAGTTCCTTTATACTTCTCTATGTATCAGCCTGCCAATCCAACCATAATTCTCACAGATGATCTATGATAATTTGTCTTGGAATTTATCTCATAACAAAGACTATGCAGGAGTAGTATTGTGAGCAAGCATAACCATTCTTATTTTCAAATAGCCTGTCACATTGTATTTAATAAATAACCACATATACCATTAAGCATCTACTTAAGAACAATAAGCATTCATGATCCAGCTAAGTGTAATTCTAAATCTGTAGTATGGCGATACTGGGATCTACTGCTTGAGTAATTATCCCACCTTTAAGAATTCAAACATGCAGAACTGGGATCCTCTCTGCCAAATACCACTTGACAAAATAATACAACACAGTCTACATCATGTAGACTGTGTATGAATCATGTATGAAGTAAACTTCAGAAAGAAAATTAACCGACTGTTGAACCTGGATGGGTGTAGTCAGAATGTGTCAAGAAAGCTGTTATGACAGGTCTGCTGACAGCAAAGAAAGCAAAATTAATATAGAGAAAACATTTAGAAAACAAACTCCACATTTGAAGAAAGTATAAAGCACCATTAATGGCAGCAGAACAGGAAAAACACCACTAGGATTCTTCTGATTATAGAGGAGGGAGGTAGGAAAAGCTGTGGCACTAAACCTGCATTATATAGGAAAAAACTGTTGTTTAAACGTGTCTTAAAATGGCTTTTGGTGGTCTCTTTGCAAACACATGCTTCTTCTTCCCAGCACCCCCCATGTTATCCATGCAGGAATGTCCTGGGAAGGTGTCCTGAGGTGTTTCCCATTGGCCTTTGTTAACCTCTTCTTGTGACTGGGTGTTCCTGTAAGCCCCTTGAGACTTCTAATTGGTTACTCTGTGAATCCTCCTAAACCCTATAAATGTAACATCCCCGACAATAAACGCTCTGCTCTCTTGCCTCCTCTCCATGCCCGGTGTCCTGTGACCTGTCTCCCTGCCGGCCACGTGCGGGGTGGGGGGGAGGGGGAGCACCTCTCCCCTCCAGGCTCAGGGCCTGAAAAGACCCCTGAGAAACCCCTGGAGTTCCCTTTCCCCATCCTTCAAAGCGTCGCAATGGTTCTTCAGATGGAAACGGAACTAGAACTGGGTCGCCCCACGCTGTGGGTGGGGAAAGGGATCCAGAAAAAGTAGCATACCTTTACAGGGAAGAAGGCTTTAGACAGACCAGAGAATATTTTACAAATTGCTGCAGTTTGCAGCGAGTGTAAGCTATGTATCTATTTGGTCTGGAGGTGATTTTTGAAATTTTTGTGAAATGGCATCAGTAGTATGCAACACTGACCCTTAACAAAAGTCATCCTAAAATGTAATTTAAGCCACAGATGAAATTACTTTGGCATGCAGCAGGAGTGAGGGGCAGGAAGGCATGCAGGAGAATTTGGGTTACAAATGAAAACAACTTGCTGAAAAACCCTGTTTATCCGACAAAGAAGAAGGAGTCCTGAAGAGAATCTAGTTTGTCAAGGTCCCACAAAACAACAGAGAAAAATATACCACAATTTAAGTGAAGGCCATGAGCAAAAGGAATGTGGTAACAGAACCTGTGAAAATTAACCCGAAGACAAACATTCTTCAGACTTTCAAACAATAAACATTCAGGACCTAAAATTCTATGTGAGAGAAATTAGTTTATATTTCTCACTTCAGTTTTGCAATTACAATCTTATCTAACATTATGATTGCTTCATATAATATTATGAAATACTACTCTAACCTGTGAATGTCTATATATATATATATATAATTTAATTTCTTTTAGAAGAAATGAATCAATAGGAAAAAAATTACAAAAAGCTGTCAATTTTTGACAAAAAACTCATTTGTAACTGAGACTATTCACATTTGTGAATTCAAGTTACTGAACCTTCAACAGAGAAGTATCTTAAACATTTGAAACTTGAAACAATAAAAAGCCAAAAGATTAAAGTGACAGAGTATCATGATGCATTTTTCCTGTTCAGTTACCCTGACGTTCCATGATGACTAATGCAATCTGCAAATGCAGCCATCAGATCAGACATAAGAAATGTTGTAAATTTAATGGAACTTATGTGGAAGAACGAACTTTTGGCAAGAGTTTCTACTTGATATTTATCTTTCTTAAAAAAATTAATGTGTCTGCTAAGCATAATAGAACACCACTAGTAACATTTAAAGAAATATTTTTAAGACAAAATATTAAGCATTTTATTTTTTTTAATTCAGAATTAAAAACATCAGAATGCTGCATTCTTAATATTATAATACACTGTCAAAAATATATCAAAATAATTTACAAAAATTAACCTGTTCATTTTAACTAATTCATCATAACAAAACAACCTACATTGTCAAACCACATGGATTAGTATCTACATCTCGTGGAGACAAGTAATTAAGACAGAATCATTAAGGTTGGAAAAGACTTCCAAGATCAAGTCCAACCTTTGACCAAACACCACCATGTCAACTAAACTGTAGCACTAAGTGCCATATCCAGCCATTTATGGAACACTTGCAGTGTTGTGGTGGTTACTCCACCACTTCCCTGGGCAGCCCATTCCAATGCCTGAGCACCCTCTCTGTGAAAATATTCTTCCAGATGTCCAACTTGAACCTCTTCTAGGACAGCTTAAGGCCATTTCCTCTTGTCCTGTCTCTAGTTACCTGGGAGAAGAGGCTGATCCCTACCTTGCTACAACGTCCTTTCAGGTAGCTGTAGAGAGCAATAAGGTCTCCCCTGAGCCTCCTTTTCTCTAGGCTAAACAATCCCAGCTCCCTCAGTCACTCCTCACATGACTTACTCTCTCGACCCTTCACCAGCTGCATTGCTCTTATCTATACAGCTCCCACACCTCAGTGTCTTTCTTGTAGTGAAAGGCCCAAAACTGGACACACCACTCGAGGTGTGGCTTCACCAGTGCTGAGTACAGAGGGACAAGCACTTCCCTAGTCTTGCTGGCCACACTATTTTTGATACAGGCCAGGATGCCATTGGCCTTCTTGGCCACCTGGCTCACGTTCAGCCAGCTGTCATCCAGCACAGAGGAGCTGACTACACAGGGAGTTAGCACTGCAACAGTGACTTCAAGGTACACTGTTGCAGGGCACCCATAACCTCCACTGCCATACACTAGCTAGCACAGTGACATAAGCACACTAGAAAGCGTGCCATGGATGTTCCCAACCTCTTTCACGAATGAGTCCTGGTGGATTCAGCTGCAGCACTTTGAGACATTACTGCTCAACCCCCAGTACAGAACCTCCTATGTTTATAATCCACAATGCAATCTTCAATGTAACAACCACTGGGATTTTATTAATCTATTTGCATTTGACTGCCTGAGTTATCTGAAGATAGAGCAGTCATGGCAGAACGTTGTAAGTAGGACAAGTAAAAAACTTATCTTAAACCACTACAGATATACTCACTTGGAGCTTATTGTGGCCTGCAGTGAATTCTGTGCTACAAGATGCTCCAAAGACCCAGTGACAGAAGCGAATCCTCTGAATAAATCACTTTGTTGATGAATTTCAACAGCAGGCCATTGAAAATAGCTATTCTAGTTTGAGTGGTTTATTTCCAGCTTTTAAAGATACCAACTTGGAACAATCACTCTAAGGTACACAAGCATCTAAACAAACTTACTTATACATGATACATTAAGGTGTGCTTTTATTACCCAATCATTTTATTCAAGTAGACAAAGAATAATTAAAGTGACAAGACACACTCATTTTATTTGCTCCCACCTTTCACATTTTCCTAGCTCAAGTTTAACAGATTCAATCAAATGATCAGCAGGCTGCCAAGTTAAGAGAATAATCAAACAGATCTTCAAATACCTATGGAACAATCCTCATAGATCCTGGAGTTCTATTACAAATGAATCCTTCTGTCTCTAGACACAAAAAGTGACAAAACCCAAACTGTAGGTAACTGTCAAACTCTAGGTATTCAACTGCCCCTTTACAGGGGTAAATATGCTACAGGAAAGGGCAAGTGCACAGCATATTAGTGACAAAGAAATCACTGTGACTATGATTCATAACTTAACTTCCACTACAGAAACCAGGTGACAGGAAGATTTCCAATTGTCTTCATATCCAATCAGAGTCAAACAATATTCCTTGAAGGTTTGTACTACCAGGGATGCTTGCATGTTCTCTCTATTCAAATGTATTCTCAGCGGTTGTGAAACAAGTCAGAATGGTCCATAAGGAGATGCTTCTTATCTCTTCATTAAGGCTTTGAAATAGTCTCCACTACTCTTCAACCCCATTTCCTTGCTTGTCGGCATTTTTATGCAATTTTATTTTCAAGAGAAAAGGAAACCTAGACTAAATCTTAGAAAGAGAATTAAGTAGTCTCAAAATAAGTCTCCTGTGTAGAGTCATGGTTGCAGCCCTTTACTTGAGATTTCTGAAAAATATGTTTTTAAATGGCAAAGCAAAGGTCCTGTTCAATGGTTACTATTCATTACTTTTAGCTACTCAGTCCTCAGGAAAACAAACAGATCACTTGAGCCATCAGATGCTTGAAACAACCATTTTAAAAAGTAACTCCTAGGGAACCTTAGCACTTTCCTCTTCTAAACTGAGATGCTAATAGGACAAAAGAAATTAAATGCAATCTACTACTTGCTCAGTTGGTTGACTTAGTAAAGGGCTAGAAACCATGAAGTGAAACTGAGTGAATCCTGGAATTTTATTACATGCAGCACCTAGGAAAGAAAGAAAAAAAAATTATAACATGCTACATTTGGGATTAGTGTCTCTGTTATTGTATTTTATCATCTAAACACCCAGTTACGAATTCTACTACAATGGTGTAATTATTCTTTTACAATCTGTTTAACCCAAGACATCTTGAAAGTATTTAAGTTAAAATACAGTACTGCTGGCTGCTGTAGTGCAATTAATGCCCTTATAATACAATTCAAAAAAGTAATGCAAGTTAGGAAAATATCTCTCTCTTTCAGTCCTGATTAATTTAATGAGTTCCTTCAACACTAATCTCTTAAACACAGAACTATGGGAAGTAAGAGATCAAAGAACAGCAATAAGCAGTCTAACTAAATAATCCATTTTGATTAGCAAATTGTACTTCATACTGATCTAAGAGTTCACTAATGAGATGCCTGGCACAATGACTGCTCTTGGAAAGCTTTGAAGCCATGCTTAACATTCACATTCTCCCTCCCTTATGCCACATCTAGGGAAAGCATAAGAATTCTTTAAAACCTTCAAATTAATCATATGCAGTCCAGGAAAACACATCCAGGTTGTAAATATTTTTGATTGTTCCTAAGCCTTCCATAAATTTTGTGTAAATCCAAGACATCAAAATGCAAAGGAAAATTACAGTATCCCCAGTTCGCACTAGGACATAGCTGCCCTGGTAACCAGCATTTAGTACTACAAATGGCCAGTATTACTTCAGTCCTCAAAGAATAATTAAAGACTTCTGCTTTAAAATCCACCTTCAGTTTTGTACTTCTGTGATCTAGTAAGTGTAAGCACCTTTGCCTGCAAAGTAAAATACATACCATAACTTCCAGTTGTATTGGCACAAATGATAGCACCAAAGAACTTTGGAGCATACTTCTGGATTCTGGAAATGACTTTCTGACAGGCTACTGTTGGGTCTGTTCCCATTCTCATATATTCCACAGCTTGATAACTAAAAAAAAAACCGACCCCATACCCAGACAGTTAGCCATACTCAGGTTATATATTTTAAAATACCACTGAAGAAACCTTGGTTTCTTTGACTAATGAAAACACACTGTAAGTAATTTTTAGGCCATCTTGTATTGGCAATTATTACTCAAGTTCTACATAAAAAGTCATTAAAAACAGGACTAAAAGGAACTGCAAGATGTCATCTATACCATCTACTGTTCTATGGTAGGATCAAGCCAAGAGATAACTCTGATCATTTGCAGAAGAGGCTAAGCAAAAGATTAGTTAAAGAATGCAAAGAAGCTGTTAAAGAGTTAGTGGCTTCTATTTTTCATTGAGTTTGACATTAGAAGTGATCACGAGTTTTCAAAAAGGCTAATGTTAAGAAAACTTTTTGAAGAAAACTGATCTCCAATATTACCTTACTAATAAATTGTTGATTTCAGTACGCATTAAAAAAAAAAACCTTTCAGAAAAAAATTAGGTTTCTGAAAACACCAAAACTGACACATTTTCTTTATTTTATGAATATGAAGGTACAATGTTTTGATCAAGACTTTGAGACACTTTTAAATTTTTTGCAAACTAAGTTGAAAAAATATCTTAGTTTAAATGAAAGAGAATCAAAATGAACTTTCTTTTTATCTACAGTATCATTAGACAAATGACTATATGGGAAACGCTTGAGATGAATCAGTTGCATTTCAAAAATATCCTCAGAGGTAAAAAAATTAGTTTTGTTGCCATTTTCTTTCAGAATCTGAAGATTAAATGACAACATATGATATAACTTACAAGCAAACAACATTAGATTGCTTTGATGAAAGACGCACGTACCAACACCAACTCCTGCTACACTAAGAGATATACAGATAGCATTACCTACAGGTGTTATCAAAGTACTGCAGAAAAGAACTTCTCTTGCATTTTAGAATTCCTATTATCTTTGACTTATTCTAACAATCAAATAAGTTCAACTTATCTAAAGAAAACTGACAGAATATAAAGCTATATTTCACAGGGGTCTCTTCTCTCATCAAAAACTCAGTAAGAAATTACTATTGCAAAGAAGGTAGACAGCAAATATTAGCAATTTCGCCCTTTATTTGGCACTTCCTTCACTTCTGGCAGGTCAACTTTAGTCTTTGTTTCCATGTGGGAATATCTAAGTAACATGGATTTAGTAAAAATCTTTATCTACAAGGAAGCAGTGATTAACCATCTAGGCTGAGTTGTTTTCTAAAACCCACTGGTGCTAACACAAAATGCTTTTAAGCATTACAGCCAAATACTTCAGGCTGCTAAAGTGTAATATCAGTTTTTATTGATTAAGCTCATGGTGCAGCTCAACTACTGCTGTTGTTATTTGTCATGACAGGACAGATAATTTACTTCAAGACTGGCTTGGAACAGCTTGAATTTCATTGAGGACATTTGTGAATATGCAACAGCTAGCAGGCATTCTTAGCTGCCAGAGTTTCAGAAAAAGCACCTGAGCTTCTATATAGTCCTTCGAGCATCAGAGCGCATTATGTTCAGCATGGATTTCCATAACTCATTCCTGAGACTGACCCACAAGGATGACTCTGAAGACTCAGTGATGAAAACAGCCATATTTTACACAGTTTATAGAACCACGATGATGGCACTAAAACACCTCTTTCAGTTTCAAATTAGATGCAATTGCATAGGATTGTTGCGGTGACACTTCCCCACCTAAATAATCTGAGACCCACGCCTCCTCCTCTCTACAATTTATGATACTTATTTCCCACATAATAAAACACTTTGGAGGAGAAAGCTAATCAGTTCTGTTAAAAAGCATATAGGTTGGAAATATACTCATTACCTGCTGCCTCTTTGCTCACAGCTTGGCAGCGTTAAGGGATCTGTCATCAAGATATTTGTCTCTTCTTTTAAGACACATTATAACAATAACTTAATACTGCCACGGTTCTTTCCTCTTCCACTCCTTCCTCTACTCCCACTTCAGCAGCAAGTTACAGTGTCCTTTTAATCAGTTACTTCATTTGCCGAGTCCACATTTTGCTGCGAAAAGCTGGCAAAGTCTGCCCTAAGGACAAACCTGGGTAAGAAGCGCATCATAATGTCACCATTCCCAGTGGCTGCAGCTCCTCCAGCTGTACTGTCCGCATAGGATCCTGCTCCAGCTATTGGAGAATCTCCAACACGGCTGTAGTGAACAATGGAAAATAAAAACCCAACTTTGTCAGCCTTACTGCCTCCAGCTGACTTAGTGTCAAACCCACAGGAGAACAGAACAGGTAAAAAGGTCACTCCACAGCAGTCAGAAGTCTTTATCTTAAAACTACCAATATGAGTGATCTGTGAAAACCTGACTGACCTGAGGCTTAATCCACCTCCTATGCACAACTGTTTGTTATTATACTGACTATAACTAGGCCAGTGAGGTTTAGCCTGTGGGCAACAGTAAGCAGCTGGGGACATTAATATGTTCAATAACTTGTTGCTAAATCCCGAAGTTGTCTGACTTGGTTAACAGAAAAGAATTCTAACTGGGTAAAAAAAGTATCTCAAGGATAAAATACAAGCCTGGGGCTCTGATTTTATGTACATTTCTTTGGAGACTGCACCTCTCCAAAATGCTTATTTGTCTCTGGTGCCTTGCCTTATAAGTTGTCTCAAAACTGTGCCAGTTGTTTGTGTCTCTGTATGATGAATTAAGCCAGCTGAAAAACAAGCATGCCCTCGAACACACACAAATCATCTTGCAACTCAATCAGCATTAGGATTTATGGCAGTGCATAGAAATAAGTAAGGCCATTTTGTGATCTTAATGTTAATGTTTTACAACACCATGACAAGCTTAACATAGGAAAAAAGGTGGAGAAAAAACTTTTTTGTAAAACCAGAGATACTAACCCTGGAATTTTGTGGACTGCACCATTAGTAGATGTCCCAGAAACAACGGTTCCACTCGCACCAATTACAACCATACCTAAGATTTTCAACAGGATGAAACATATTCAGAAACATTCCTAAAAAATTTATTTAATTGGTATTATGCTTATAAAAAAGAACCACAACACACAGACTATTCAAATTACTGATATACTGAAATACAAGAGTTGTACTCTTAAGGAAAACATGTTCTTTTTAAAAGACATTTTGAAACTTTTAGGATGTATTACAAGAGCTCAAAAAAGAAGGTAAAATTGTGAGTGCCACACTGTTCAGAGCTGTATGCTACTTCTGCCCAAGCAGGCAATGTCTCCTGATATACATCTATGTTAAGCAGTAGAGAATAAGTACCTGGTGTCACTACATCAAGCATCAAGGAAATTATAAATAGCGCTTGAAGGAAATTAAAAAAAATCAGAAGGATGAGCTTAAATTTGGTAGACGGTGACATACTGACTACCAAAGTAACTTGAATTACATGACAGGCAACCAAATGGATGGATAAGCCTACCCCTTGCTAATTTTGTGCTGATAAGAAAGCCACTGCCTCATACAAGAGAAGTTTAGATTGTCACTTGGAACAGGATTTGGGATCAGCTGCTTCTCCATATAGCCAGAATTCACCTCCACAGAGCAAGAGAGGGCATAAATTGCTGCTAGCATAAAACTGCAATACAAAGTGAGAGCCAAGGAGCAGAATGTGATGAGCTGAATTCTGTTTCTCTGACCTCAATAGGCAGTACCTACTTCTTACACAAGTTTCCTGACCAGTAGAAGCTAAAAGCATAGAGGCACTGACTCTCTGTCCTATGTAAAAAGACTGGAAGGACATTAGATCCTTCCAATGTCTTAAATGCATTATTAATGAAGACCGTTCTCAAAATGTGCTAGTCACAGAGACATTTCATATATAAAACAATGGGGTGGGAGAACTTGAAATACTAATACAAAACACTGTCATTTACTACAAAACAGCTTACAACTACTTAATGATACATCAGTTCTTGAGTTGTATTTACAAGATTCCTCTCTCCTGACACTCCACAATTTCTGAGTTTTCCAGCACTAACTAAAGACTGTTTACCCCAGCAAAGAAAACCAACCAGCTATCAACTTAAGAATCTGGGGGGTTATCCAACTTCTGGAGAATATTAATTGGTTATTAGTAGAGTGAACTAGAAGTAAAGAAAAAAGATTCACACTTGAAATAACTTGTTAATTCTTGGTACTGCAAATACCATCAAGCGAAAAGTTCTGCATTACTGAGGAAAATCCAAACTAAACCAAAGAGTGCTAGTTTCAAGACTACACAGTAAAAAGCTTTAAAAGACATGAATCCATAACTGCTCTACTCCTTTGTCTGATCTGCTTCTTAACCAGCTTGTAGGTTTAGCAATTAACAGTCCTCAATCAGTAAACTCTTAGAAGTTTTTGGGACTACTACTGCTAGCCTGTTTTAAGCATAGTAATTTCTGGAGAAGTTTATTGATTTAGTCTAAAGCCAGAACAGAAGACAAATGAAAGCAAACTTTGTTCTAAAAATTTCAGAAGTGTTTGACAAACATTGCTTTTAGTTGGCAACAGGACTACTGTTTACTCATTTCTTCCACCACTGTAATGCCTTTTAAGTTGCTCTGAAAGCAACACCATAATCAAGATAAAAATAATTATTTTTAATCTTAATCAGTTTTCTAAGCATCCACAGCTGTCCAAGCAATTATGCCAAGGTATCTGCGAGAAAAGCAGCAGGGCAATGAACAAGAGCTAAGGGCAAATACGAAGCAAGTGGCTGTGCAGCCACTGTTTGAAAAAAAAGAGAAACAAATCTTACTTTTAGGCACTCCATCCTAACACATAAGTAACAGAATCTTGAAACCACTATAAACAGGAAATAATTACTATATGAAATACTTTTCTTTAAAATTAGTATGATTTAATCTGTAGAGCAATGAGAAAAAAATCAGTTGTTACCAATAGTATCATGGTTCTGAACACTTCTTTGTGAGATGGTCTGTTCTTCTTTATAAGTTACTTTTCCAGGCCGTTTATATGGTCCACAGGATTTTGAAGAGTCTGGTACCACATTCTGTAAATATTTTTTGATTTGCACGAATAATATATTATACTTCAATACAGATAAATTTAAAAATACTACAATCAATACCTATAATCTGCCATATAGGATGCCCAATACTTAAAACATACATCTGTACTGAAATACCACAAATTGTTTTGCTTAAAGACTGATTTCTGGTATAATATAGTAAAAAGGTTTTCCTACTAGAAAGTTATGTTGTTAAAGATTTTCCCTTGCTCAACTGAGTGGTCAAAAAGAAAAAAAAAAGTCAGCTCGTTCTTCAATGAAATGAAGAAAATCTTCAAGTCAAAAAAACAACCAGATAAAATGAGTTTGTTGTACTAAGTTCAAGATATTATTGTCAAGTCAGCATCATACTCAAGATATTTTCCCAATTGAAAATATCTTGAAAATTAAAAAAAATCAAAACTGAATTAAACTGGTTCAGCAATGCAGCATTCCATATTCAAGAAACAATTAATACAGCGTACAAACATGTAGAAATCTGTAACACCCAAAGCAAAAAAAACCCCTCCAACCAAGCCAACATCACCACAGCAGGTAAATTTAATGGACAGCTGCACTAATCTTGATGCATTCACAGGTCTGCATGAAGCCTCACAACTAACTATTTAGAGACCTTAATTACTCCTGTAAAATTCTCTTTCAGAAATTTATACATGCATCAAAAAAATACACACACTGCTGTGTTTAGCTTGAGAAGTCCTGTCCCAATTAAGAACTGGAAAAAAAAAATAATTGCTACACCAAAACTCTACTGCATCAAGGTCAAAACCAGCAGGATCTAAGAAATAAGAACTAGACACATGCAATTCCCAAGTCTACCAAATGCTTGGTAATTCCAAGCCTTTTCTGCTTAATATGCAAAACTTCTTTTTCTTCACATGTCAAGTGTAACTTCAATATAAGCTAAAAGGAAGAGGCAATTGCTGTATTACTGACTTTCTAAACCCCCTCTTCACTGCCACCACTGCACTGTACCTTCCAGTAGTTTGGCTGACAGCTTTGATTAAGCCACTCTGAATACAGCGAAAGTGATTTCTGGGTTGTTAAATCTTCGTATGGAAACCCCATTCTTACAGCAAACAGGGAGGCTTGAAAAACAAGAACAAAACAAAAAAACCACACATTGATTTATTCACAGATTTATACATTTTATGATAATGCATTCATGTTATGCTTTTTAGAAATCAAGAAAGTCTACATCCTTTATGGAGATGAGAAATAAGCCTTCAGGGAGCAGCATCAGCCATTAGAGTGATGTACAACTGCAGCAGCAAACTCTCCCTTCACTGGCAATATCAAATTTCTTCAATTCACTATAACTATGTTAATACATATAAGTTTTACCATTGAAAGAGAAAAATTCAATTCTGTTAATCAACTGGACACAAATAAACTGTAGGAAGAGTGGTCTGGGCTGTATGGGTCACAGAAATGATACAAATATATTTGCCTTAAAAAGCTAGTCTTTTATGAAATGTAAGTAACCCAGCAGCACAACATTTGCCATTAAAACACTGATACTTGAAGAAAGCAATCCACCAGCTTACATCATATTACACTTCTTCCTTGCAGTTTGTAAAGTGACAACTTGTTTTGAAAATTAATATAGAATGAGCCAAGGGAGCAAAAGAAATACCAACAGAAGCAATGAAAGAATGCTACACTTCTAAGAGTAACTTTTATCGTTAGGCAAAGGGAAAAGAAAAAAGATCAACTGTTCTTTCATCTTTTAGCTGAAAATACCTTTGATACTAACCAGTAACAGATACTGTTGCTAGGTTCTGATGCCTGAATTGATATTATCAATCCTTGATAATAACGTCACTGTAATACACAGCTGAACAAGCTTATCTAGTCCAAGAATTAAGAGAAGCCTTTCTGGACAGCTTTTCTATGTTTTTCTTAAAAACTGACACAATTTGAAGTTCCTTACCACTCAGAGGAAAACTGACAGCTTCAATTAAATTGATATTTATTTTCCCATTTCTAGAACAAATAGGCAGGGGTTAGGTTTTTTTTGGTTTTTTTTTCTTTTTAGGATAAAATTGTGCTTGTGTATGTTTGTCAGGAATTCTTTCATAACTTTTGAAGCAGTGTTTCTACTCCAGAAAGCAGAGTTGGTCGTTTTCACTTTCTGAACTTTTTACTTGGATTATGGTTTAAATATTGACAGGAAAAAAAAGAGAAAAAGGTCAGGCACACTGACACTGAAACTTCCCTATCTATTAGAGACAAACAAGAAAATTTCTTGGCAGACAATAACCAAAATAGAGGGTTTTTTTCCCCTCACTTGTAACCCTCCTACACTGAATATCCCTCACCAGATTCAGTCTACATTGATATACATGTGCTTTATTGATAGTTTGCTAAGACTCACTCCTAAAGAATTAAGACAACTAATGGAGAAAACAGCTCTTTTAACAATGCAAGAATTGGTGAGTGTAGTTATCCGTATCTGTTCAGTGAAAGCTACACCACTGCCATGAAGTAGAACCCAAAGATCTACAGGGTGGTTAGCCTCTCCATGATCACTGAGAAGAAAATGGAAAAACTAATCCTGGAAATAATAACTGAGCACATCAAGGACAAACAGATGACTAGAAAATTAATCCATGCCACAGTTTGCTTCCTCCTCCTCTCCAGTGTCAACCACTCATAAAAATGCAATTTTAGGAGGCACAAAGACTTCTCTGGATTATATTGCTAAGTATATTCAAATAAAAGTGCCATTTAGTTATTGGGAGAAAAATAAGGAATAACCTCAGCAATTCTGTATCTTGATTAAAAAAATGCCTGCAGAGACTATATGCATTTATATGAAAAGAGTTTACTATTCTATCTAGCTCTTCTGGTGAAAATGTAAATATTTTTATTTAGAAAATAAACTGTTCTTTATCTCATATGCATTTTTTAAGATTCAAAAGTATCAATCTTCACCTGATAAAGACAACTACAGTTTCTTTTATCCAAGCTCCAATTTCCACAGAAAATACATTTCTTCACAAGAAATATTCTTCCTCAATTTCTCCACTGCTTTGATTAATTCACTAACGTTAAACATCATCTCCAGTTTTTACTCAGATAAGTCTTTGGTTTTTCTGTCTTTCTTTTGCCACTACTGCTAGACAGTTTCTTCAGAGGAAGTTCTCACTGGCAGCAAGGACTCAGCATAACAACCTTGTCCACATGCCTCCATTATGCAAAGAGCTATTTTCTTAGGTTGGAAAACATATTTTATATCAGCACTTTAATTCTTCTGCTTCTTCACTTTCATTATCTTTTCTACTGATCAAAGTTTAAAAATAATTTGGTAACTAACAACGATGGGGAAATGAGTATTATGAGTATTTCTTATTCTTTTTGCTTTTAACACCTGACCAATTTCTTTTTCTGCATCACCTGTGAAATTTCTTAGTCCTCTTCTCAAATTAAACAGAATCTGCACGTCTCTCTTTTCAAACATGTCAAACAGCGTCCACCCTCCCAAGATTGCATCAAAAAACTGCTGCTGCACTTATTTCTGTACACATTAATTTCTTCAATTTCAAAGCACTTGAATCACCATTAATGCTCAGATGTCAACTTCCACACTTATCTCCAAATTTCCTTCTGAGCAGGTACGTACATTTTCAAAGTCCTTAACTGTGAGCCAAGAAACCTTCTGCTCACTACTCACATACCTCCCTGGAAGGTACATCTCTTTTTGAAACTGGTATTACTCTACCAACAGCAGTCTGTATTTAAAAAGCTCAACCTCCAGTTTGCTATTGCTCTTTTGCTGTGCCTGAGTACAGCCTCTAACGTAATTTTTTTCATTCAAGTTCTCACTAATATTTTTAAACTATGAAATGCAATAATCATGCTCAAAATATACCAAAGTAGTAAAATATAACTGCAGTGTCTATTAATTCTGCCATTCCTTAGAAAAAGTTACTCCTTGGTTTTAAATGCAACATTTACATCTAACAGTTTCCATATTGTCTTTTAATAAATCATCTTTGAAAACTCAGATATCAGTGATATTAGCAAAGCCTTGGGATTACAAGTTAATATTTGCAGTCAGGTTGGTGGGAAAACCATAAAACTATGCTTTTTTTTTCTAAAAATAAACCTATTTCATACACACAGAATGAGCAAATAAACACTTCTGAATTATTTGACGAAATTGATTTTATTGTCAAGTAATTCTTCCACCTATATAACCAAGATTAAAACATGGCAATTTTAGCAGGAAGTGTTTTAGACAAGGGTATGGCTTGGAAACAGTTAAAGGAATAATTACCTGACTCTCCCACTAATAATGTATGCTTAGTGTATTCAATGACCTTTCGTGCTACACCAATTGCATTTTTTACACGTCTGAGATCCGCAACAGCCCCAACTTCCATAGTGTTGCTGGAAACAGAAAATATTTAAAACTTATTAAAAATACACGAATAATTGCACATTTTTTATTAGACAAGATCCGTTCTCATCTAAATCAAAAAGCTTGGTCCTTTAACATAATACTTTAATTGTTCTATGCCATAGACTGATGGCATCACACTAGTAGGGAAAAAATTCCTACCTATATTGTTTCCTTTCACAAGCATGGAGATGTTGCTCAAGTAACAATAACTTCATCTACAGTAATATTTTCAGTAAAATAACTATTTTGTTACATAACCACATAACATGAACAACACACTTGCAATTACTCTTTAACCAAGACAGCTTTAAATAGAAATAAATTACAGAATACAACTCCTCCAGAAGGGAAATATTTATGGACTGAATATAAAGGGAAAGCTAACAATGCTACGAACCATCTGCTTTGCAACTTCTATATCTAGAACTGGATTACCACACTACATATGAAGATTCATAAGCTACTCTCCCACCAGTCAGTATTTTTCCTTGTCTCACAAGTTAACATATAACTTGTCCCATAGTGAGCCCCAAAGCAACAAGATCCTGTAACAACCCATGTAGTTTCCTTACCCATCCATAATCATTGCGTCCAGAGTTGTTTCTCCACTTTCATCTGGGCTTCCTCCGTATCCCACACTCCCATCGCACTGATCAATCTCACACTGCCCACAGCCTCTCTCAACCGCATCCAGCTCAGAACCTCCTGACTCCAGGACTCTCCAAGCTATAATTAACACAAATCATTAAATGTCACCAGGGAAAACAGTCTCCACTACTACTTTAAAGAATGTTTTAAAGATAGATACAATGCAGATGCACTACATAAGTGGATAAACAAAAGTAAACCGTAACTTACAGATGAAATAGTCAAAATATAAATATAACTGAAAGAATGTAAAGCATCACTTTTTTAAATATTGTTTTTCTTTCATATCTGTTTAGTGTTTCTGACTGAGAAACAAAGTTTTTCTTCTGTTATTAACTAACAACCATCACAACTTCTATACATCAAACAACCTTCTCTGCCCAGAACCAATCATTACTTTATCACTGCTTGTTTAAAGCCTTCTGGGAGGAGAGAGAAGGGGAAACAAAGCTTTCATCTTAGAAAAAAAAAAAAAAAAGACCAAAAAAAAGAGCAGCCCTCAAAAGCTTCATATGAGAATAGTAAGTGTCCAGCTGCAGAATAAAAAGATCTAAATCTATATCAGTAACTACGTAAGCATAAAACTAAAGTAGAAATGGTATATAAGACCTTAGTCTCCATTCTCCTGTCCAAACCTCAGTCTTCTATTCTTTAGAATCTAGATCACGGCCAAATGACATGCCTTGAATACGCTGAGCCTGAAGGCATTGCACATATGAGATTTCACAAGGTTGGACCCTGGCAAAACTTTCCAAGGCACACAAGCCTGCTGGCACTACTTCCTCCTTGTGTTCGCTCTGGTGCTACATCATCTGACAGACCCAGCACAGGGGAGGAGGCAGCAAATGCACACAGCTCTTTTTTGCAGCAATAAACCATCTCAAGAAGCCTTACCATCACAAATGCCACATGCAACTGCATGAAGCTTCCTGCACCAGGGAAAAAGTAAGACCTAATGCCATGCATCCAACTCCACATATGATCGTCTTTTATTACAAACTTCAGTGTGAGGAGTATTGCTCCAATTCCTATTACTGTTATTGCTGCCAGTAGCCTTAACACAAGCTTTCAGAAGCTGCAAAAGGCCTTGCAGTTTTCATGAGTATATTTTATTTCTCACCTACACAAGGCTTTACAGGTAACCCATTTCACAAGGAAGAATTCCACAGTAAGGCATTATTTACAACTCGACTACGATAAAATAACCCACAAGTCTTTTAAAATCAGTACTCACAACTAATTTACATTGCCATAAGAAAATGTGCTTTGCCTGTCAATAACACATCACAAAATACTGAGCTGAAAAAAAATAATATCCATAACTACCTAAATCCTTGGGGGGCAAGAACGAATCTCAAAAGGGCACCTTTAAAAAAAACACTGCAAAGAGCCACAAGAGTTCAAACCACATTAGCAAAAGTATGCCCTTAATCTAGCATATCCGCAGTTCATAACCCCCTTCTCTACTGATTTGTTTGGTTTGGTTTTTTTTAAACCCGTTTTTCCCAGCCTGCTTGCAGGCTCTCAGGCCACACCAGGACTCGGCGTCAGGGAACCACCAGTGTAAAGGCAAGCTCCTTCCCATACGAGGGGTAACTTGGCGCCTCGGCGTCCGAGCCCCTTTCCAAGAGCCTGCCCGTCCCTCTGACCCGGGACAGGGTAGGTGGGGAGCAGAGCCCGGAACCGCTGCACCCAGCGCCGCTTGACAGCAGCAGGGTCTCAACTCGCTCCTTCTTGCCACCGCCCACGCCCGGACCCGCCCGGCGGTCCCTCGCAGCGGGAGGACGCACCAGGAGGGCAGCGAGCGGCGCGGCACAGCACCGCCCCACCCGCCCCAGTCCCCCTCCGGGACACCTGTCTCCGCGGCCGTACTAAACGCCCAGGTGTTGATGACTACAGGCAGGGCGGCTGCTGAGGCTGCGCCCAGTGGCGGCAACACGACGAGCAAGAGGAGCAGGACAACCAGAACCACCACGGCCGTCCATCCCCCGCCGCCCCCCAGCGCCATCACTGCCCGGCCCGGCCCGGCCCCCGCTGGGCCGACACCAACCAGGCGGCGGCGGCGGCGCAGGCGCGCAGGGCCCGGCCGCGGGGAGCGCTGTGGCCGCGGGCGGGTGTGGTTCCGGCGCTCGGGGGAGTGGCGAGACCGGCCCTGAGCGGCGGTGTCACGGCGAGGGAAAGCTTAAAGGCCCCAGCAAAGGCCGAAGTCCAGGGCACATTAAAATACATTTTGTATTTCACAGAATCATAGAATGGTTTGGGTTGGAAGGGACGTTGAAGATCATCTAGTTCCAACGCCCTTGCCATAGGCAGGGACATCTTTAACTAGACCAGGTTGCTTAGAGACCCATCCTTGGGCATTTTCAGGGATGTGGCATCTGCAACTTCACTGGGCAGCCTGTTACAGTGCCTTACCACCTTCTAATGATTTTTTTCCTAACATCAAGTTTAACCTACTCTGTGTCAATTTGAGCCCATTCCCCCTTGTCCTGGAACTACGTGCTCTTGTAAATAGTCTTGCCCCATCATTCCTGTAAGTTCACTTAAGGTAGTGGAAGGCTGCAATTAGGTTACCCTGAAGCCTCTTTTTCCAGGCTAAAGAATCCCGGTTCTCTCAGCCCTGCCTTGTAGGACAGGTGCTCCATCTCTCTTAGCAACTTGGTGGCCCTCCTCTGGACGTGCTCCAACAGCTCCATGTCCTTCCTGTGTTTGGAACCCCAGAGCTGGATGCAATACTTGATGTGAGGTCTCACCAGAGCAGAAGAGAAGGGTAGAGTCACCTCCCTTGATCTGCTGGCCACACTTGATGCAGCTTTTTTATTGTGTGTCTGGATTCGCGTTACAGCCAGCCTGCTTTGGCTTGTGGGGGGCCCCAGCCCACTGATGAGATTGCTGGCAGTGCTGGAGTGTGGGTGCTGAGCTGTGGTGGTGTGGGGGGGCTGTGTGTTCGCAGGGCTGTGGGGTAAGGGCAATCACCTATGCTCATGAGATTCACTTGCAACATCACCTGACACCTTGTTAACATGGATGTTTTTGTCAAAAGTGCCCTATGGTACAGAGACGTTTCTGCAAAGGACATGTTTTGAAACCTACTACAGTCAAATAGTTTAGGGAAAAACTTGTGAAAAGCCTTACTTTATAGAAATCATGAAATGTATACCAGGTAATTTCTTAATTCTGCTCCTGCTGTTCCAGCTTTTCGTTATAAACCTTTAGCAATAGTTTAAAGCCATTTGACCCGTTACCATAGCACTCTGACAGTTTCCAGGTCTATAGGCTTGCCTGCTGTAAGTGTAATTCACCGGTTTGTGTTCAGAGCTGGTTACTTTCAAGGAGCTGCTGATCATGAACCAGATATTACTTCTGAACAACATGAAAAATGGTGACTTTTACTTCTACCAGAAGACATAGATATAAACTACGCTTTTTCTTTCAAATACTCTTTTGGCTCATCCTTGTTACTCCTTTTCAATATATGATGCCCCAAACTCAATTACACTTTAACAGCAATGTCGCTGGTGTTGTATTTGTACTAAGAGGGGATACTTGGATCCAATGTGTGACAAGCTCAGGCTTGTAAGCATACCTAAATTTTGAATGCACCCAAGCTGGTTTAAAAAGCCTGAAGTAATATTATTTTTATTATAACAAAACATTCCAAATACTTTGAAATTAAATGGTGGCCACAAAGGAAATGTATTATCTTTTATTACAGAAGTCACAAAATAATTAAAATACAGTATTAGGTTTGACTTTACTAATACGATAGCCTTGGTTTCAGCTAGTTCCCAAAAGCAAAACTACAAGTAGTCTAGAGAAACCTTTATTCAGGTAAATACTGTTAGCTAATTTATTTCTGATATTACAACTCACATTTCTGTCATGTAGTTCTGTGCAAAGCTGTTAGACAAGGGAAAAGGTCCAAAATACAGATACGAACTAATGTTAGCTGAAGGTAAATAGAGGAAAATATTTTCATGAAATTAATTTAATAATAAGTAAAAAGAAAAAATATAATCAAATACATTTATAAAATGGATATATGAATAATATTTTTCAAATATGGTTTTCTTTTGGCAAGATAAAATGGAGTGTTATGAAAGAAAACCACTTTAATGTGGATGTCATTCAAATACAAGTATTGACTGTGATGGTTGCATCTGCAGGCTGAGCCTGCACAGCTGTGGAGAGAATGTTTTGTATGAGGTGAAACAGCATAATATTATGCTTTGAGGCTCATGTAGAAAGTCAGTTGGTTTGATTTCTGTGGCACACTTACTAACTGGCTTTCAAATGTGAATGACTTCCTGCTAGAAATAAATGCAATCTTGAGTCTATACTTTACTGTATACAGTTATTTAATATAATATTTTTTTATACTGTATGTGAAAACACTTACTAAGCAAACACTACTCTCAGATACAGTGTATAAAATCAACAGCAAGGTCAATAAAACCCTTGTTTTACATACTGGAAGCTAAGGAGAATTTGAGCAATAGCTGTCCAAGACAACTCTGCAAGTCAGTTCTGCTACATCCATCTGGGCTCTTGATTTACCTTCTGTCTCTGACATAACATATTTTAAAATTTGCCTTTGGGTTTAAAACTTCTTTGTATTTTCATAAAGATTACCTGTTGTTTCATAGAAGTCCTTCCTTCATCAGCAATGGAAATACACCTTCATCTGTTTATCCCCCAATACTTAATGTTATCTTAGAGACCGTGGCTAAGATAAATGATGATACTAGTAGACTTTTGTCTCTGCTGCTAAAAAGCAAATCAGTGTTTCCACAAAGAGAACTTTTGTTCAAATGCATAACATTGGAGGAATATTCTAGAGAAAAACTTGTATGGACAAGGGATTACTGAGAGGATCTACAACAGACAACATTGACTGGATGGCACTGAGTAATTAATGAAAAGCACAGGAGGAAATTCACCTCTTCTACTGAGAGGGTCTGTTCCTACAGTGGCCAAATTCTGACCTCAATTATATCTGTGTGACCTTATCTAGCACCATCTGTTAAAAAATGCATGCCCAGCTCCTTTTTGCTGTCTCAAATTTTCTGTAAGTGTGCTTTGAAATCTAATTAAGTATATCTGTAATTTGTTTACATTTTTATCTTGATTTTCCTTACACTATCTAATATTAACACAAATACATGAAAAGCAAATATGAGAATGATTTTCTTAATAAAAGTAATCAACTGTGTGATTACCACTTGCTAATTAAAATATATTTTTAAATAATGTGTGTTGTGGTTTTCTATTTTGAGTAGATTTGTAGAAGCACTGTTCTCTCAGTTTTTAAAATTCTTTTTTTTTCTGTTTCAATCACTTTTTTTTGGCTTCTTAGAATACACATGTTCTTTCGTTCACTAAATGACACTGGGAAGGATGAAAATATTTATTTGTACTGAACCCCGTTCATAGTGACCATCATCTGTCTTTCAAGTCTAGTAGGAAGGAGCCTTATGCCTTCTCTCATACTTGAGAAGAGCTATGTATAAACATTTTCAAAGCTACCTGGTTATCCTCACCTGAATCCTGCATACAATGTATAAAATTTGAATCACACAATTATCCAGACCTCTGCTTCCCATACTGTTTTCATGCCTTCCCTAACAATCCTTTTCCATGTGTTATGTGTTCTCTTCCACTTCTACTGTAAGGTCTTTTGGGTATGGGTTGTAATTTCATTTCAAGTTTGTACAGTGTATAGCATCAGTGTGTCCTACCTTAACACTTTCTGATCTTTGACAGTATGTTAATGAGCATTAATATCTATAATGAGAAAAAATAGAGATGCTAATTATAAAACCCAAACAGCCATCAATAATAACAATATTATTCAAGCTTCCATTGCTAAATTTCCTTTTGCTACTACTTTTTTTTAAATTCAGATTATAAGTTACAGTAGCTTCCTTTCCTACTGTATAACCCCAAAATAACTATTATATGTCACAGAATAACATGTTCTTACATTATTCTTTTGGTCTATTGTTGCATTCTATCTGAAAACAAGTTATGGATAATATATTTCCTTTTAGTAATTGCTGTACTGGTCCACTGCAATAATAAAGTTGTCATGTGGAACATGTAATGGACCACATTACATTGTTGGAACTCTTTTTTTTATTATAACTCCTTATAACTTTATGATATCTTCATAAATGTGATCCACGGCAATAATAAACTTGTTGGACAAATACGGCAAGTTGCTCTTTGTTTCCACCATGTCTGAAAGGTATCTTGACATTGTTAAATGAGCAGACTTAAAGCTTCCAATATTGGAAGGAAGTTAACAACAAACTTATATTATACAAATATTAATTTACAAATATGACAACTTACAATATCTATATCTGTTTCATTTGATTTGAGTATGCCTAAGAAAATTTTTTAACAGGATTCTCACTTAGTTAGGATTATCTTAGCATAGAGGGTGTATCAGTACATGCAACACCAATATTTTCATGGTTAAAATATGGAAAAACAATAAATAATTGCTTCAGGAGGTAATTTATAGCATATAAGCCCCAACTTTGAATAGAAAACTGTGTGATGTCTGTGCACAGTGCTTTTCCCGAGTTTTTGATCTGTAGTCTTTGTTAGGACACACTAATGCCATTTTATTTTTTTTTTTTTTCAATGTATTCCATTGTACAAATCAACCCTTTTGTTTTATTTTGGTTTCTGTGTCTCTTACTTAAGTTCACCCACATAAAGCTCACTAAGGTATTACAGCCCCATAATGTTCAGTGTAAACTGAAATTTCAGTTCAGCTGTGGTTGAAAAACACAAATCAGGTCAAAGTCATTTTGAGAATCTGTTTCAACAATGTACTAGCCATTCAGTTACTGTCCTTTGCAAGTTCTATTGGACTCCGATACTAACCATGGGGGTTATAAGGTTTATTTTATTTATTTTTTGGCTTCAGACTGACAAATAAGTATCTTGAACAAAAATCCTCTTGATAACATTTTACCAACTATATTTTACGATGAGATACAAAGTACAGAAAT